AGCCTGAAAAGTTTTGCAATTCTGGTATGAAAAACTCTTCGATCATAGCCACATATCGCTCCGACGTAACAGTAACTGCGCGCCCTCTGCCATCCTCAAAGAAGTAAGGCCCTAGGATACCATGGGCTTACATAGCGGCCCAAACAGTCACTTTCGGACTATGTAAGGGCTTCTGATAATTAAGTTTTGGATTGATGGGGCTCCAATAGCGGCAATTTTGTTTACTAACATTCCCGTTAAGATGGAAATGAGCCTCGTCAGAGAACATTATGTTGTTGAAGGAAGTAAACCGATTCAACATTTCATTCGCATAATTTTGTCTTTGAATACCATCAGTTTCCTTTAATTCTTGAACCAACTGAATTTTGTAAGGGTGCATATGTAAATCTTTCTTCAAAATCCGTTGTAACGATGTCCTGGATACGTTTAATGCTCTGGCGCGCTTACGAGTTGACTGTGTCGGATTTTCGCGAATAGACTGTGTCACTGTGTCTATGTTTTGTTCCGTACGTGACGTCCTTGGGCAACCCAACCGCGGTTTATCTAACGCCGAACCGGTCTCCTCGAACTTAGCAACCCAGTTCTTAATCGTTTGAAGAGTTGGAGTGTCGTCAAAGTTGTGTAAACCTTTGTGTTCTCGAAATTTACGCCGCGCAACGGTTGCCGAATTGTCGTTTTTATAAAACTCGCGCACACAAAACGCACGGTCCGCTCCGGTAAAACGCTCCATCGCGACTAAATTCCCAGAAACCGAAGTTACTTCCCCCGCTTCCCCTGCACCGCTCACGCGCGCCCTGTTCGTTTTATTCAAATTTTACTTTTCAAAGGACTTATGGGCCACCCTGTACTTAAATATTGTCTGTAATCGAGTTAACCACCCCTGCTCTATGTCAGAGGCATAAAATCAAAACTGGTTGTGTCACTTTTGGAAAATGTTTTTAAGGGCCTAATACATTTTTAATCCGAATCTTTTTTGTTTCTATAGTTTTTATGGTTCCTACAGTTCTTTTCTACCTTCTGACTTGGTCTGTGCGAAATCGAATGTTATTCAGTTATGATGTAGCTTTTCAACGGCAAAAGATTTTTTGAAATCGGTCCAATAGTTTTGAGGCTACCCTTACATAGAAAATAAAATGTTTATATAATATTTAATATAGATATAAATAATAAATTTAATTCGCAATAATATTTAACCTCTCACGTTTACAAAAACTGTTGTAAACAAAATTAAAAATATTACGTCACTTATTTAAATATCACCAATTTATTATATCCTGCTTTGCGTAATTAGTACCAAAAAAGTACCTAGTCAAAGTACTTAACATTGAAGTATAAATAAAAAGTTAAAAATATACGAATACACTATACCATAGACCTTATAAATAAAGACGGAGCGAGCGTTCATACAAGTTTGACATTTCAAAGTAAGACAATTTTCCAAATGTCAAAAGTGTATGTTACGCAAAAGTAAACCAGTGTAATGAAAAAAATTTCCCAAATTCGGGAAAATATACCAGTGTCCTGAAATAAAATTCAAATTAAAATAAAATTAAACATTTATTAAATCGTTAATTAGTTTTATTTTATATTTACTAAAACCAAAACAACAAAGACAATATTTTGTATTATTGTTGTTATAAAATTAGTGTTTTAAAAATGTCTCCATCAAATATTATACTATTAAGCTGTACTAAAAATAAAGAAATAAAAGGTAAATATAAGAAAAGAGGTTGTATTCTATTAACTTTTTAGGTAAATACTTTAATGTACATGACAACACAGGGGAAATTAACTACAAAAAGGCATTTTAGCACACTTTTCTGAATAGCCCGTCTATAGGTATAAAGATCTATGACTTAAACCTTTGAGAATCGATACTCGATACGGGCTATACGTATCTATATATAAAATAGTGTGCGGTTTAGAACGAACTCAGGAATCTGATATTAACGAGAAACTGATATAAAAGCCACTGAATTTTGATCGACATTAAAATCGAAACATTCGATGTTGCTATGGAACAAATAATGTTTTCAGATTCAAAGAGATGTCGAAAATCGGTGTTGCAAGAAAGTAATTAAACAAATTAATTATATAATTAAACTTTTTATATTTACTAGAATTATTTCACTATCTGTCGCACAATTATTTGTAAAAATAATGCATACCTTGCTTATTTTTTTGGTTTGTCAACACTTTAATTCAAAGTTTTATTCTTTGTTTGATTTTGGAAAATAAAGAAGAAATAGAAAGCAACAATTTTAATTAAAAAAAATTCGATTCCAATTTCTATGACAACAACCATTAAAAATTATCATAAAATAAATAAAAAAAACTATGAGGTATTTTTTGATTCATCAAAATATCAAACATCTAAGTAACCAAACTCATTATTTAATTATTGTCTAGCAATCAATCAAATTATATTAATTTAATAAAAAATTAAAAAAAATCTCGTTAGTTATGCCGTTATGCTGTGACTCACTCATATAAAATTTTTAATTGTTAATTTTTTTTGAGCTCTTATTCCTAACTAATTTTATTCTTCTGGTAGGAAATTATTATTAGCAAAGGCGTATTAACAGAATCTATGCCGGAATCTCAAGTTTCGCAGTTACGCTTCTTCTGTCAACCATTAAGGTGAGTATAGACTAGAGCGTTTACTTGTAACAGAACGACGACCCGTTCTATTTGTTCCAGTGTATCACCATTTCACGCGCCATACGTGCTTTGGTATGTTACATTGCACAGAAATGCTCGCGAAAATGCTCTAATGTATATTCACCTTTAGGTTACCAATGGCAACGATTCACTAGCTTTATAACACACGTGTATGGAGGAATATCTTTAACTACGTCATATTTTATAACGATTATACAATCTATTTAGCAACATTTATAAGTTGATTTATAAAATTCCAATATTTACTAAAGTTTTGTGAAAAAAAAATCATTAAAACATAATATGCTATAGCTTGAAATAAAGCTGATGTTTGATTTTCAACTTTTTATATTTCATAAATCTAAGTTTTAATAGTTTACGAGTTATCTAAAAATGGTACAAATTAATTTTGATGTTAAGTATATTTAGTTTAAAAGAAATACATAAATATTTATTGAAATATAACAATTTATGAGCGAAATATTGATATTATTAGATACATCAACCTTGATATTCAAATAATTATAATGTTTTAAGATTTTCCAAGAAGACTACTTTTTTCTACAAATGTGAACATAAGACGGATACATTACTGTCATAGTAATTTTAAATGAAAGTATACATATTTGTAAGAATTGTGTAATTACACCATCACGATTACGTGTATAGTACTAGGTGATAGTGTAATCAAATATTTACATTTCACAAGTTTGTAGATTCTATGGTAAAATAAATAGAATAGGTATGTATACATAAATCTTACTAATATTATAAATGCGAATGTTTGGATGGATGGATGTTTGTTTGAAGGTATCTCCGAAACGGCTCGCCGAATCTCATTAAAATTTGCTAGAACACAAGACATAGGTTACGTATTATTATTTTTAATTCCGCGCGCACGGAGTCGCGAGCGACAGCTAGTACTATATAAATAAGTACGCTCGAGTATCGCTCAGAAGCGGCGACGTGGAGATAAAACTAAAATTTATGACTTACAGATCACGGCTCACATGTATGAAGCAGATCAGTGAATCAACTCGCTTGACTCTGTTTGTACCTTCATAGATATGTGATTTGCACTTTGAGCTGTGAACTGCTACTCATTACAGTCACATAGTTTATAGTACGTCACTAGCAGCTGCCAGCTACCAATTTAGTTGTTGAATCGCAGCTCAACGGCTCAAGATTACGTGAGCTGAACTTTTGAATCGCTGAGCTGAGTTACACATGACTAGTGCCAACGCTGTAAGTGATTAGCTAATGCTGTGATGAGCGCGTGGCAGCTAACGAACCTTTCACGAGGCATATTCACGGTACAACGCGGATATCTAGTCACACCCTAACGTCGCCTTACACCGGTAAACAATTTTCGTAGTTAATATAAGGCAATTTAGTCCACTTTTTAAAACATACAAAACCGAAATAAACGTTGATCGAAGATTCGACGCATTAAATGTATTCTTTATCGTTTTTAAAACCATTGATTTTTTTTATAAATTAATTATCAAACCGTATATCTTATCAATTAATTGCGTACTTCAATTTTTTTTATTATAATATAAAATTATTGCCGTGTATTTATGTTAATTATATAGTAAATATTGACTCATCAAAATGACAAATAATTTAATAAAGCCTAATTGTTTATTCGAATTTTGCTTTTTACGACTCGATGTTCAACTGCACTTTTTTACTTTTTTGTTTCGACAACTTATTATGCTACGATTAAAGCCACTAAGATATTGATGAATATAAGTTCACTTTAATTATAAAATGACAATATTCTACCAAAAAAAAATATATATTTGTTATTAATTAAAGTTATTAAAAATGTCGCAAAAATAGAAACCTAATTCTTAATCTTTTAATTAAAATTAATTTTTATTACACTTTTAATTTAAAGATGAATATTAAAATTCTCGATGTATCAGTTAATATATTTTTATGACTTCATAATATTGAAATAATTATAAGATATTATTTTAATTTATTTAATATTAGTATTTTTTTTATTATATTTAATATTAGTGCGATTTTAAACTTTTATATTTCTGTTAAACATTTCCTAAAAAAAAAAACTTTCATATTAATATAAATACGAAATACTTTTACGCATTTTATAAATGAAATTTATTGATGATGTCAATTTACAAGGCAAATTAACCACTAAAAGGTTTTTTTTTACGTTAAAATAAGGAATTTGTCAATAATATATAATTTATTTTAATTGTCTAATTATAAATCATTAAGTTTCAAAGTAACTTAGTAAGTTGCACAATGTTACACAACTTAAGTGCGACACTCCATTCAAATCATTATACAGTAAAAACTATTTTAATTTTATGACATGAATATTTACTTACAGGTTGATCTTCGAAAGAAGCATTTGAGATATTGAGGGATGAAGGTACACTCGGCTCTTTCTTCTCCACATCCAGATCACTTGTGGCTGAATCGCTCATTTCTTTTTTGTTTTATAAATGTACAGAAATTAAAAAAAAACTGTCCGTTCAAAATATGTCATTCGATACCAGCACGCAACATTTTACCGCGAGCGCGGCGCAGCTTGTCCCAAGTCTATGTTCACTATCGCTAAGGCCTACGCCGGCAAATGAATGAACGTGTGACAAACAAGGACAGCGATTGTTTTAGAAAGAGATGACCGATAAAGATCCCTTTAAAAACGAACATTTAAATTAAAGGTAACGTCACACTTGCGTCTCGACATTTCAATTAAGGAGTAACATTTAACTTATGCTTCTAATAAAAAATAGTGGTTTAATAAAAAATATTTTGAAAAACTAATGGTATAATGAGAACATATACTAAAATTCGTAGATTTAGTACTTTTTGTGATATTAACGTCATAACATAGCCTTAAAGTCATCATCATCTCATACAAAGTTCAGCCGACATGAAATAACATCACTTATTTTCTTAATAACACTAAACTTAGAACAATCATTGCTGATTCCTATTTATGAATATCTAAATGCGATGTTGATGCCCTTCAAAATTACATTTACGAATATTTTAAAAAACATTTTGTAGCCAGTTGTCCACTTTTACTTCCTTAAGAATTCGATACATTTCTGTCCACGTACTACTTTTACCAAATTTGTGTGATAGTTATGTACATGCTCGGTGTTTCAGGTTCCTTGTACTTCATAAATCAATCCATTTGTATTCAAGGCAGATCAGGACAGATGATCATTTACCATTTCACATAAATCAATTGGCGCTTCGTTTGATTTTCGGTATAAAATCGTAAAGGCTTTTGTTTTTTTCTGATTTATCCAGTACGAATTGTTCTTTATTGTTTCTCAAAATCCAATAGATTTGGTAGCATAAAAGTAGCTGATATTCTAAATATATCTTCTTTAAATTCTTAAAGTGGTTAGTTTCTTAAAATTTGACCATAATTCATAGTTAATAATTTTTTTTATCAAAAACAAGCTTTCTGCACATCCTATGGATACACTAACTTTCAAAATGTTCACTGCAATTCCCTTAAAGATGGTTATTTTCGCTTCACGTATTAATATTAAATATAAATTCAACAAGTATTTAGGTAAAATGTCTGCAACGCTTTACATCCCACGTTACAATGAATCATTGTGTTTCCATCTTTACTTTTAGTATTGCGTAAAGAATTTAAGAAGAGATAAGACATTTGAAACGTCCTTCTCAGTATTAAACTAACACCAAAATGTTAAAAAAATTACTTAAAGTAAAAAATTTCTAATGGCAACTTGTCGAACGACTAGTTTCTAGTTTTTAATCGTGTAACTTCATAATAGAAAATGGGTTTCTGAAGTATGACTATAAATTATGCTGTCATTGCGAGTGTTTTAATTATAATGATAAATTGATAAAACGATTTTTAAAGAAGATATAAAGAACTAGAAGAAGAACATGAATAAGATTTTGCAGCCGACGTATTAATTGTTACGTAATATTATTAAAAAAGAATTTAAAAAAAAAACCTAGTTAGTAGCCTATGTATTCTTGCACATTATTTTCTACATCTATGGCAAATTTCAGCGAGATCTATACAGCCGTTTCTGGAGATACCTTCAAACTAACATCCATAAAAACATTCGCATTTATAATATTAGTAAGATTATTTTTTGTAATATTTCTTATTTATGAGTAAAAAATTAATATGTTAATAATCAAATAAATAATTCTATTAAATAATAGTAATATAATACTAAATTTACTCGCATATTTAATCAAATGATTCAATCAAAACAATATTGTTGCTTTGTCAATTGGAATATATTCCTAATTTGTATTTTATGCTGTTATAGATGAGTTTTTTATGTAAAATACAATAAGTTTCGATTATTATCTTTATATAAACTAACGATTTATTGAATAAATAACATCCTAACCACAAAAATTATTTTTATTATGACATTGGTAATAAGAAAAAACTTTTGCGGTTTAAAAAAGTTAAATGATTGATGTCTATAGATTGTTGAAGTATAAGTCAAGCACGAACAATAAAGTGACTCATATATAAACAATCCATTCGACAAAAATAATTGTTTAGGGCCTAGCACGAATATTTGTGACAAGCACCATCGTATCGCCAACGACAAAATAAACAAAATAACACAACGCTCCTATCGTGCGTAAAATACACCTAAAATGTCATACTAATTTTGGCACAATTAACGATGATACAGACATTTGTCGCAAATATTCATGTTAGACTCATAGTAAGTACGTTAGAAAGTGAAAGGCGCATGTATCTATCAACAAAGTGATCCTATAAGGGTTTAGTTTTTTTCCTATGAGGTACGGAACCCTAAAGATCGTATTTTTCCCAATAACTATAATATTCACATAGACAAACAGAAAGAACTAGTGACAGTTATATCAATACGTTTGCGTTTACCTTATGCGAGTTATTAAAGGAGCAAATTTTTCATCAACACCAGAATGAGGTTAACTATACTAGCACATAATTAATCATAATGATTAAATCATTTATTTACGCAAATATATAGTCTTAGTGAAAGTGTTTGTTATAGTATTTGCATAAACATACTTGCCCTATTTAATGCTATTGATGTCAAATAATAAATTTTATTTGCGTTAGACCAAGTTTAATGATAAATAATATGCAAATACGCGATTTATCAGTACTTTCCCCACTGCAGAAACATTCGTACAAAACATATAACACAGAGAGCTTACCATGGGTTTCTGAGACCATCATCTTCGTTTAAAATATATTTTTATCTCTGTTTTGTTACAGATTAAATTTGCCATTTCCTTAAAGGCGGGCAACGCATCTGCAGTTCCTCTGGTGTTGCTGATGTCTATGGGTGTCGTTGATCACCTCGGTGTTCCCGCCGCTTATTTGCCCCCTTCTCTTATAAAAAAAAGTTTATGACAAAGATATCAACATGTTTTAAACCGAGATTTTCGTCTCGAAAACCCACGGTCAGTGTGTTAATATGTTTTTATACATGTGTAATTACAGTGGGATTATGTGTTATACATGTATTTTGTACTATTATACTTATACAGTTTTTAAGTTTGATTTTTGTAATTACGTAATAACAAAATCTAGTAAAAAAAATTTCAAAGATTTTAGAAAGAGAATTTTTAAGGAATTTTTCAAATCGGTTCATTGGTTTCAACGCAAACGATCAAATTTTTCCTTTTTATAAGATAATTATAGATTACATATTAGGTTCTTTATAAGCTAACATGTTTGAATGCTGACAAAGTTAGAAATAAAAATACCTATTTAAGGATATAAAAAATAAAGAAAATATTTATTTTTAGCAGCTCCACGTGTAACTTAAATTATCAGATTATAAAAAAAGAACCTAATTAATGCAACAGCCAGTTCTATTTTTAAAATGGAATAATTTTAAGTAACATGTTTAATACATACAAAAGCCATTTCCCCACGACTTGTCTGCGTCGAATTAAAAAAAAAACTTGTCGAGTAACTTATTTGTTCATCTAGATAGTATTCTACATATTTCAATGTCAAATATAACATAACAAATTTCTTCCAGATACATATCCCATTCTGGAGACACGACACGACAGACCGCCAGGTTCCATCCACACCATCTCGATGACTGGCAATCCACAACCGTGCGGTTTACACGAAACTTCCTGCCTCCCACAGCAGCGTTGTGGAATGGTCTGTCCTCGACGGTATTTCCAAACCGCTACGACTTAGGGTCCTTCAAGAAGCGAGCTTATCACTATCTCAAATGCCGGCAACGCATCTGCGATTCCTCTGGTATTGCTGATGTCCATGGGCGTCGTTGAACACTTCGGTGTTCCCGCTGCTCGTTTGCCCCCTTCTGTTATATAAAAAAACATCCATCCATCCATCCAAACTATCATATTTAGAATATAAATAGTTCTCGTAAGTTTTACCTCGTTATTGAATCTACAGAGCGTGCTTAATTCTTGCGAATGACGTCATAAAGATTAAAAAAGAATAAATTAATCTGCTACAAATTTAGATAACCAGATTAGAAACCTTTTCGTTAAGCCAGTTTTGTTTTAAAAACAAAATAGGCGTGGAAAAATTGTTTAATATATTACAAAACTAGTCGTCGCTTGCGGCTCCCTTAGTTAGTAGCCTATGTGTTCTTCTACGCTATGTTCTACATGTACTAAATTTTAGCAAGATCCATACAGTCCTTCTGGTACCGTCTAACAAACATCCATCCACATCCATCCTTCCATCCAAACATTCCCATTCTTTTTCATTGATTCAATTCGATTAATTTACTAATTACTGTAGGTTTGATGACAATTTTTATAAATGATTATGATTTATGGGCGATATTAATGACAGAAACAGCAACAGCTTAAAAATCAAATTATTCAAACTTTCGTGAGACATTATACTAAAATGATATATAAACACTCACGTATATTCGTCCAGTGGCGGCACCGACTAGTTTCGAGCCCATCGGGGGCCCTTCATCAGGATGAGTGGTACTGGTATTATTGCGCGGACGCGGCCGGAGGCCCTTCTGTCTTACTAATATAATGAATGCAAATGTTTGGATGGATGGATATTTGTTTGAAGCCCGGAAGGGCTGAACGGATTTTGATGAAATTTGGCACACATGTAGAACAAAGTCTAGAAGAACACATAGGCTAGTAATTATGTTTTTTTTAAATTCGCGCAGACGAAGTTGCAGGCGACAGCTAGTCTAAAAATAGTTGAAGAACACATCGAGGATGTATTCATGCATATAGAACAGTAATGTTTTGTTTATAATTTTAATATCGATTAATACAAAATATCAGGTATGGAAATCAGTGACATTTAGACATTTCCAATCTATTTTACAATGCATCCATTTAACGTAAGATATAACGCTAATCTTACTGCAAATGCATTCTGAATTAGAATAATTCTTGATAACCTTGATTTTTATCTGTATTATAAGAGATTAATGGACTTCCTAGTCTCGTTAATGCTTTTGAGAATTAAACAGCAAATAGAATTCATAGGATATGATTGGATCGTATCTATAAAATTACTTTTTGTCTATAAAAGTCAAATTAAACAAGGAAAATACCAATATTTTCCACCAATATGAATACAAATTAATGTGACTACTAGCTGTCGCTCGTGACTTTGTTTGCGCGGAATTAAAAAAACCTAATTAGTAACGTATGTGGTCTTCCAGACTAAATTCCACATTTATTCCAAATATCAGCTAGATCTATGCTACCGTTCTAGAGATACCTTCAAACAAACATCCATCCAAACATTCGCGTTTATAATATTAGTAAGATAGACCGACAAGGGTATCTGACCCGGTGTTAGCAAATCACAGGGTATTCTTCACAAAAATTCAAATTTAGTTATGTTATTAAACGATAATAGATTTATCGTAATTCCTATTGATTGTCCTTTCCGAAGTTCCCTATTATTTAGTTACACTTTCATCATCGGCTCACTATACGTCTCCACTGAGGGGCTCCGAGCCTAGCCTAAGTTAGAGGTGACTAGGTCATAGTCAACCTCGATGGCCCAGTGCGGGTTGGTCGACTTCACACATATGTTTGAATTCCTTCTCAGATATGTGCAGGTTGCATAACGATGTTTTCCTTCACTGTAAGAAGGTCGGATAAATGTACATATGTAAATCGAACATAGAAAAACACATTGGTACGAGTACATGGCAGATTTGAATCCAGGACAGATTACAAGTCAAGGACTTAACCACTGAGCCATCGACGCTCAGTTACACTATGCTACCCTAATTTACTGCTAACCTGATTAAAAGTATAAACCTTAATATGGTACTTAATTAAATATTAAAAATCCCTCAAATACTTTAGAATCGGCCCGTCAAAATCCCTAGCGTGTAATCTAGTTAGTGTTCGGTGACTTAGCGGTGTCGAATATCATTTGCTCCTCAGAATATCTTTGCACGGATAATGAAACCCTAATTTAGATAACGATTACTGTATTAAGTTCAACTTTCTACCACGTAGTAAAATAAAAAAAACTAAAAAATTAAGGAAGCATCATTGTTTAAAAGTTTACCCGAGTACATTGTCAGTTAAATAAACTTTAAGGCCCTTCGTGAAGAAGGCAACGTAAATCGTCGATACTATTGTTGTGTGGTCGCGTTGCGTGAATCGTGTTACGCGCTCTTAATCTTCATTTTAATCTTCATCGCGCGTCTTCCATTCGACAGCGAACTTCAAAATTTTATGGAACTGACGCGCGACAATCACGTGACTTATAAAAAGTTATTGTCAGTTCTACACGTTGAAATTCCCTATGGAATCGCTTCTGAGCGATTGCACTATGTATTAAACGATATTAAACGATAAACATAATTTTATAATTATTTATAAATGTATTTATAAACATTTCATACAATTTTTTTATAATAAATAATTTATCTTGAAAAAAGGATGATTTAAATTATTGACGTAGATAAATATTTAAAATAATCGCATCTTTTTTGAATAGGTTAATTAAATTTTACAATATATAATAACTATATCATAAATTACATATTAATGATAACTAATTTTATTTTCAAATGATGTATTTTGGAGATATTTTATTAGTCTTTGAAAACGTATAAGTATGTATAAATATTACGTACAATGTATAATTAATATTAATTTATACTGAAATATACATACTGAGTGGAAATTTATACGTAGTATACATTTAGTGAATCAAGTTCCTCATCAAAGAAGGTGATTATATTATGAGATAGTTTAATATTTTTTTACCTCATGAGCATGGGGGAAGATCGAAAGGCTAAATCAGCATACCTCGGGATCCCGACTGGCCGTCGACCCATCGGTCGGCCCAGGTACCGCTGGCGAGACGCCGTAGAGCTGGATCTGCGGGAGCTACAAGCGATGGACTGGCAGGAGAAGGCGACTTTACCGATCTCTTGTGTTGGAGGCCAAGAACCACTTTGGATGGATGCGCCAGCGTAGTAAGTATAATATATTTTTTTTTTAAATGTATTTGAAAAATATCTTCAGGTCAATAATGAGGCGGGAATAATGCTAATATTTATTTGTACAGGGGTTTCAACAATGGAAAAATACGGTATCTTCCTAATCCATGTAATATCACGCATGCGCGTTTAATATTAATAACAGTTGAGTTCTATTATCTTTTTAATGTTGTATATATTTTTTTATATTTTGTACTAGCGATCGCTTCCCTTCATCACAGTCAACACAGAGAAAAATAAGTTTGCAATGTGCTTGCTTGCATCACCTAGGCAAAGATAATTTCCCATGAAAATGGAGTACGGCCCAGCGTAGCCTTATACAGATACACAGCTGTCTGTCTGTACGTCTGACTTCTGTATGGTTGATAGGAACTATAAATCTAGTCGACCATAGCAAGCTAAAAAATATAAATACGTCAAACATATCGTAGGGGAAGATGCTCAGACGGAATCCTCACTCTAAAATAAATAGGTGTTAACTAAGAATAATTGTTTTATGATTTACCTTTTAATAAAATATGTTAATTTTGTACTAAATGTTTCATTTAAGATTAGAATAGTTTGTAATTGATATATCGCACAAGTTTTCTTAAGGTGAATAAACACTAGGGCATTTTCTCGAGAATTTCTATGTAATATCACGTTCTTACGAATGTAATACAGGTAAAAGCACGTTTGGCTCGTGAAAGGGTACACTAGAACGTAGAGAGCGGCTCGTTGTTCTGTTACCAGTAAATAGTCTATAGTCACCTTTAAGTGAACAGTAGATCCCTGTTGAGATTTTAATTGACACATTTGTCATCTCTTACATTCTCTATCAATAAAACAGAGACAGATATATGTCAATACCAGCAAGTGTGTCAATACAAAATAAAACTACAAAGCCAATTGACATAATATATTAAGATAAAAAGACATTAAATTAAAAATTGCCTTCTATATTTTTATAGACATCATTGTTTATTGATAAGTAAAATTAAAAATAAAATATTTTATCCATTTTATAACAAACATATTATTGCTTATTTAGAAATAAAGCAATAAAAATTACAATTCTATTTTACAAAACATATGACAAAATCATTAAAATTATTTGAAAACAAAAACATGTTAACATAGCTTAAGAGCTTTTCAAATATTTTTTCTTAAAAAATGAAAATTTATAATGCAAAAGCAAGCGAAAGTTGTGGCATTTTTTTCAAAGCGATTAATTATAACCTCTAAATATTAAAATAGTTTTGGCTAAGGCAGTGGTGATGACACGAAGCGACTGCCAACGGACCTTCGCAACCCAAAAGGAAACCAGCCTTTTCTCAGGTACACAACATTTCTAGTAATTGATATTTCCTAAAAATCGTTCCATACGTGAAAATATGGGTATTTGAAATTAAACAACAAAATTGTAACTAATCCTTATATATAGTAAATAATATAATATATTATTTATAGAACTAACTACAAAATGAAAGAACACAAAGGTTAAATATTCCCGCTGGTAATGCAAATATTTTTATCAATAAAGTTAAATCTCTATTTTTATAAAACGTCTTTACATAAATGGATCAAAAAGGAAATTTATAAAATATTCGTCCAATAAGCAAATACAGTAGAATCTCGATATCTCGAATGTCAACGGTGATAAAAAACTTCGTCTTATTGAGTCTTCGCCTTAACAAGAATTTCACGATATTTGACGGTGAATTTCTAGTGAAGTGTGAAGTGAAGACATAACTTAGACTTACATATGTAATAAATATTATTTTCTTCAAGTTACAAATAATAATTCGAGATACCGTTCAAAGTTTTCAGTTAATGTTAACAAAATTCGAGTAATAGAGATCCCTCTGTGTATCAATTGTGTATATGATATCAAAGATAAGGCGCGGTACAAATATTTTATAACATTCTTTGTATTCTGTTGTATAGTTTGTTTTATTTGTAGTGCAATATTATTATTCACGTTTAAAATTATTCTTTTTAATATAGCAAAAAAAAGCACGCTAATATTTGCTAATCATTATTATAAGGCACAATATTAGAACGTACATTAATAAAAAAAATTAAGTATTTTATAAAACATATCTGTATAAAATCGAAAACAATAATGTAATCTTGAAATACTTATAAAGAGAACAGTAACATACTAAGCTATGAACAATATAAGAATATTAGTATATGTATACTTTTCTGTGAATTTTCACTGCTAAAAAACCCATACAAAAACATATTATCCCATATACGGGATGGCAATATGTTTCGCCAATGGAAACAGATGGTTAGGGTATATATTTTGGAGTTACTTTCCGCGTCGCGTGCGGAATAGCAGAGCGATGTAGGCGAGTAGTCTAAACCCGATGAATAACAGCACCATGTTGACCACATCCATCGTGAAGTCTTTCTGTAATAACATACATGTATCAAAATGTTAGTACAATCAGCTATATCTTATATATAAAATTCTCGTGTCACAATTTTCGTTCCCATACTCCTCCAAAACGGCTTGACCGATTCTCATGAAATTTTGTGAGCATATTGAGTAGGTCTGAGAATCTGCTAACATCTATTTTTAATCCCGCGCGGACGGAGTCGCAGACAACAGCTAGTAAATATATATATATACATGTACAAAGCTTCAGAAGCTTGCGTATGCCGTCGCTTTCAAAAATATGAACACTCGTATCCGTCCGTATTCGTCCGTCCATAAATACATGATAATGACGATAAGTTTGTAAAGTTTTGTAAATTATTACATTATTATGGAGCTGACTAGTGATTTAAGTGGCCCAAGTTACCCCCTGGGTTCCACTGAAGACCCGTAGGAGCCGACCGACTGACCGCCTTTTTTTTGGAGTCGCTTCTCCTATTGTGTGCAAATCTAAAATATGCAATCGTCAAAGCAAATCGTATCTTTTTGTAGATCATATCATTTTTGTACTTCCTAAAGTAATAAATATAGGATTTTAAGAATCCGTTCTTCTATCGGTTGTTTAATATTACTGTTATAAAGATATTACCTCAGAAAAGCTGAGCGTTTGCAGCACGACTTGTCCGGATGCGGGACAGGTGAAGTTCTCGCGCGTGCAATCGATGGACTCGATGCCGGACCACTGGTTGACGAGCAACGCCTCGTTGCCGTACCGGAACCAAGATAGGTACGAGATCCAGCCCAGGTACGGCGGGACCGAACTGAAAATACAAAACGAATGAATGAACAAACGAACCAATGAATGATTTGAGTATTTTAAACTAAAATACGTATACCCAATAAAAATTAGATTAATTTCAGTTATCTCTGGTTTTCCACGGAGAATGACAAAGATGTACATTTTTATTATATAAGTAGGTCGACAATAGAATTCTACTACTAATAAGTAAAATGTTTTTTCAATCAGATGTAAGTAACCAACCCCAATTCCATGGATGTAGGAAAATCGAAAGTTTTGTGTCAGAAACACCCCAAAATGTCTGTCACGGCGTGAATATTGTGATCTTACCCTGAATTGAGGAAGAAGCCACCGAAGAGCATGAACGGTATAATGATGGGCGGCCCCACCGACGCCGCCATGCTCACACTGCTACTAGCGCACGAGATCAGGTAACCTGGAAACACGATTAATATTATATTAAAACATTTATATTGTTAACGACAATGTAAAAAATATCTCCGATAGAAAAATATAACTTAAACAAATGCAGAAATCATTATCATTATACCCCATTGACTCATTATATAATTCAAAGATATGTGTGAAGTCAACCATCCCGCACTGGGCCAGCGTGGTTGACTATGGCCTAGTCACCCCTAACTTAGGGTAGGCTCCGAGCCCCTCGGTGGGGACGTATAGTGAGCTGATGATGATGATGATGATGATACCCCACTGAGGGCCTCGGAGCCTACCCTAAGTTAGGAGTGACTATGCCATAGTCAAAAAATCATGTAATATTTTATGGCTTCTAAGTTTTGTTATTTCTTTTCAACGGACAATTCGTAGAGATTTGTCAAACAAAAGCTTTACTGTTGCAATGTTTTATTTACATATGCGACATAAATTAAAATAAATAAACAACACATATGGAACAAACAAACAAAACATAAATGCAAATCAGATTATGCGGATTAACACATTGAGGGAAAGACTTGTTATTCTCAGTTTACTTTTATATAGTTGTTATAAACAGTTACATACCACCACATAAAGATTTGGCTTTTAAGCACATTTGGTATGAATAAGATTGTTTAGTATAATTTTCTTAATTTTTAAACATTTTAGCATAAAATTTATCAAGATCTTCTTTGCTGTATAATATTGTTTTAATCATGAAATAAACACTACAAGTTGCGTCAATGACATTCTTTAAGTTTATGACATAAATTCGTTGCCTCGTGATTTTAACGGAAAATTATGCTTCTCAAATGTCGGATTGTATAATTACTAAATCGCCCTTGTCATCGCTTCTAAGAAGGGCCTCTAACTCGACCTACGAAAGGTGTGTTACGTAACATTTTGGTTACAAAATAACGACATACTTGTTTGTTAACTTTAGATACGTGAGTCCTTGATGTTTGTGGGAAGTATTAAGATGAATAACAGCCTGGTGGATTTTATAATATTAGCTTATTAATCTTTTTCCCATTTGCTTAAGTTAATGTTTAGTAATTTATTTTAAACTATATTTAGACGTAAGTTTGTATAAATATGTCATCATTTATTCTAAATTAAAATCAATTTAAAAATAACTTTTTTTATAAATTGCATAACCTTAAGAAATTTATTTATAATGGTTAAAGTTATTTAGTTCACTTTTTCAAGAAGCAAATTTATTTTAATGTGTTTGACAGCTTAAATTGACAGCTTGACCGTTCATTAATTTGACATTAGATAAAAAGTCCACTGTGAAATGTTGAATGGAATGTTGTTTAGCCACTTTTTAATCACCATTTGTGGTATATATTAAACAATTATAGGTTCGTCAAAATTGTGATTAGATTTGAAAATGAATCAACTGTAATTAAGCTAATGAAAAAAAAACTTACAACTAACAATCTGTTTAATCGTAACTTGCATAGTTTCTCTTATAAAAGCCAGACTTTGAATTTCACTGAACGATTCTGAGTGCAGCAATATGTATTATGCATATACATAAACATAAACCTCCCTTTGCAAGTGTTGCATACAACTTCACATTTTCTAAACGGGAGTGATGTTCCCATATAGAAAATTAGGCTTAAGTCATTCCTTCACAGCACGACAGAAAGCATATCTCATCGTGAGTAATGTAGACTACATATATTCTTTTAATCTATGCTCCAGAATGGACGCGGGACGGATTGTTAGTAGGGAGAATATAAAAATAACATACCGAATGATGTAGCGACATTGGTGATCAAAGCGGCCAATCCTGAAGCGATGAAGAACCTCTCAGGAGCGGGGTTGAGGCCGATCATGTAGTAGGCGATGGTGGTGAAGACGAGCGGTATGGTGGCGAAGACGGGCGCCTCCGCCAGCGTCTTGGAGAGGAAGTACACGTCCGCGCGGTACATGCCCGAGTGGTGCTCGCGGATGAAGATCGGTAGCTCCGAACAGAATACCTGTGACGTCATTTTTATTTATTATTAGGGAACAATGACTAGTTTATTATGAAATTATCGGTTTTATTACTTAAAATTTCTGTTATAATTCAACATGCAAGATTGAAATACGTTTAACATACGCTGCATTTTAGGTATAAAACAAAAATAAATATTTAACAATAAACTGCACAAGAGATAAGATCAAAAACATATGACTCTAGAATTTGATGTCAGTTGTCGTATCTTACATTAATGACTGCGAAGATGTTCTGGAATGTCATGTTGGTGAGGAACATGAAGATTGCCCCGTTGATGTTCATGACACCGTCCTGATCCAAATGCTGCCCGAAGTATATCACCCCAATGAGAATTGATACCATCTGAAAATTACATGTCATAAGTGCCTCTATCAGTCAGAACCAAGCAGTCACGGCCGCGCCAGTGGTATAGGACAGAACTGGTGTGTTTGTGTTGATAAATACCTGTCAATTACCAGATTGGTATAATCGAAGAGCCAAATGTGAAGTTGAAAAAAAACAGAGTTTACTAAGTATTGGTCGATGCCAGTCTGAGTTCATAAACTTTAAAAAATGAGTACTCTTGTATAAGAAAATGTTTAATACTCACGATAGTCTGTAGGAAGCGGACTTTGATGAGCATTGGCTCTTTGGTGACGGAGAGCCAGGAACGCCAGAGCACGGCGCGGAACTGCGCGCACCAGCTCGCCTTGTAAGGCGAACGGCGAGCTCGGAGCGCCGCCACGCTCGACCAAGGCGCGTCTGCCCAGCCGCCGGAGATCTTACGCTAAACAAATATACTCATATTTAAATAAGTAATAGATGGGATTAAAAAGGAACAGAGCCCTCCAGTAACGTAAAATATTTCAACCATTAACGAGAGGAACCATCGATCAGGCAAAGTGCATTAACATTATTGTTTGTGGCTATCCTTGAAATTTCCAGTATTGTATGTCGTTATTATTTAACCTATTATTTAGTCACGCATACCCATTATCATCATTATATCTACAAGGAAAGAAATGTTATTTTTACCTCATGAAACATGGCATTTTCGGCTTCATATGCAATTTTGCAGCCGATTTCCGACTTGGCAAAAGACGTGCAAACAGTGTCGATGGTGTGTTTCGTCGTCTCCTCTCGTCCTGGTATTCCAGCTAGTAGTTGGATGTAATGGTCTGCGGGGTTGTAATTTGCGGGACATGCGGCGCCTAAGCTATAAAAAGGCAAAGATTGAGCATGCATAGATGTAAATCTCCATTTGTAATTTCCGCTGTTTTATCAATTTCTTTAAAGAACCTCGGTAAAGCATTGATTAATCAGATAAAGCACCTTGCATGTAATCCCTTAGGTCTGGGTTCAATTCTCGCCATGTACTAATGTATTTTCGATTTATTTAATCTAATTAGCTTTTTGGTTTTTACTTACTCTTTAAAGAACTCCGTAGCCTGATCAGGTGAGCCCAAGAAGGCGACTCGGCCGTCGGCCATGATCAGCAACTTGTCAAACATTGCGTACAGCTCGGAAGATGGCTGATGTATCGTACATACGACCGTCTTACCTTTTTTTGCTAGACCGCTTAATACCTGCGAAAGATTACTTATATTGGGTCATTCATAAAACAGCTGTTGCCCGCGATTCTGTTCACGCGCATAAATAATAAAAGTGTTAATTCAGATTCTACATCTATGCCAAATTTCCATCCATTCATCCATCTAAACATTCGTACAGTAAGATTAGTAGGAATAAGATTTTATTTATACTATATATGTATATACTTTATAAAGCATTACATAATAATTAACTCTATTATGAAATTCCAAAACGTTATGACGACACATTTTTAAAACGTGCCTCCGATTTCGAGTTCTATGGAATTTGACATTAATATTTTTATTTTTGAACGGACCAAGTTATAAGGTTATTAGATTATTCGAAAATTTATAAGTACATCTTTATTAAAGATTTCTCGTAAATTTAGAGCATTACTAGGTCAATTTTACATATTGTTATATATGTAAGCTTGGGTACAAACCTGTATAACATTTTGAGCCATAAAAGAATCCAGTCCCGATGTTGGTTCGTCGCAGAACATGAGCGGGGGGTCGGTGAGCACCTCGCTGGCGAACGAGAGCCGCTTCATCTCCCCACCTGATATGCCCTTCAGACGGCCAGGAATGCCAATCACGGTATTCTGGCACTTTGATAGCGCCAACTGAAGACACAAATCTCACTTGAAGTACGAGGAAAAGGATTAAAAAAAGAACAGTCTCGACTGTGAATAGTTTATTGGTTACTTATATTTATTTTCGTTTAATAGTTTAACAGTGGTCTATTTCATAGCAGCATTAGCTGTTGCACGAATGTACTGGCTCGATCGGTTAAACACCACGACTACATAGAAAACAGGCGTGAAGTGGAAGTCTCTCCGCGTTTCGTCTCATGCGTGTGCTTGCCATGCCAAATTCTAGTCCCCTCTTTTTGTTCCCTACCTACTCTTTATAGTATAGTAAATTTAATAATAGCTAATAAATATGAGTTCACTCACCTCTTGAATAACCTCTTGGACCCTTCGCATCCTCTGTGCGTACGGTATGTGCCGGTCCATACGCACCAAAGCCTGTTACAAATAAGTGTCGTGATGTACTTTATTCCCTTTAAGTTCATGTTTTAAATTTAACCAATTCTACTTGATCACAAGGTATATATCTAGTCATTAAGTACTAATAATACCTCAAATTGTCATGTTCCCGACGTGCCAAATCAAATTCCGGGTATGTGGAATGTACTTGTTCTGGTGGTTTGTTTCATTGCAAAGATTTTTGAAAAAATCTCACTTATTAAATATTACATAAGTTTTAAATAAAAAAAAATTGAAAGTTGTAATATAAACCACTTTCATTTTTTTCGAATGTCTCAAAAAGACCTGCAATTGGTATCCATAAATATACATTAAATATTGGAGCATTCAAAATACGTGGCCTGAATTGATTTTATCGTAACTACTTATATAATGTAATCAATTTGAATGTAACTTGTTGTAGGAGAAACTAATGGTAAAGAAAAAAATGGATAGGGAAACAGAAAGACGGACGGACAACAAAGTGATCCTATAAGGGTTCCGTTTTTTTCTTTTCGAGGTATGGAATACAAAAAATAAAATAAAAAATTAGTAAGTGATTATGGTATACGAATATGTTTTACTGCTATATGTAAAAACATACATGGTATATAATAGCTGCGTGTTTGTTGCAAATATGTACTCTTTTAATCCGTTCTCGGTATGTATTTACGTATGCAATTTGTCATGAACGTAGATAATAGGTACAAGTTCCGCAGTTAATTTTAATATGCGGCTAGAAACTTGTTTTGTCACCTTACAGCACAGGTTAAAAATATTAAAATTATCTTTTAGAATATTACGAAGCATCTGATATATTATTGTAATAAATTGATTTTTTTTTTATGCTAAGAATCCTAATTATATATATAAAATTGGCGTGAGCGTCGGTGGCTCAGTGGTCAAGCACTTGACTTGCAATCTGCAGGTCCTGGGTTCGAATCCCGCCACGTAATGTGTTTTTCGATTTCCGATTTTACATATGTTCATTTATCCGACGTTCTTACGGTGAAGGAAAACATCGTGATGCAACCTGCACATATCTGAGAAGAAATTCAAAGATATGTGTGAAGTCAACCAACCCGCACTTGGTCAGCGTGGTTGACTATGGCCTAATTACCCTTAACTTAGTGTAGGCTTCGAGCCCCTCGTTGGGGACGTATAGTGAGCTGATATAAAATTAAAACGTATTGCATTTATAAGTTGCATCATATTTATTCTTCAATCACATCACATTCATTCATTTGTTCATGTAAGTGCCATCACGTGAGTTTACACTGACGAAATACTCATACAGAAACATTGTCGTCGCAGTTTTGTAAAGGAGAATGAAATGGATTACAATAAAATAAGTTTTTGTTAGTGTATTTCTGGAGTGAACTTACGAATAATATTTGACTTCTTATTAATATTATAAATGTTTCGATGTATGGATGGTTGCATGTTCGTTAAAGGACGGCTGCTTGTATCCGATGAAATTTGGCATATATGTATGTATTAGATCACTAGCTGTTCCCCGCGACGAGCGAGGTTCATACTATTCTAGAGATAACTTCTAACAAACATACATCCATCTAAACAATTTATAAGATTAGTAAGATTGTCTGGATGTTACGAATTAAGTTTTGTTTTATCCGCGCGGACGGAATCGCGGGCGACAGCTATAATGCAATATATTTTGTGATTGTGTTCAAAGGTAACTAAATATATCTGTCTATTGGATGATATACATTTGTTGTAATTTAATAGTGTGGTTACTATATGTATACGTCTTGTGTGAAATACTATTCCATTGGTATTGAGATGTTATTTCATATCGTGTAAACTGAGTAGCCTAGTTTTGGTTGGACAATCAATTCAATTTATAATTAACGCAAGATGTCGCCCGCCACTCCGTCTACGCGGAATTAAAAATAACTTAATTATTAGCCTATGTGTTGTTCCAAGCTGTGGTTTTATGTACGCCAAATTTCAACAAGCATGCAGCCGTTTTGGAGATTCCTTCAAACAAACATCCATCCATTCCATCCATCTAAACATTCGAATTTATAATATTAGTAAGAAGTGAGATATAGGTTATATACTATTAATATTTAATAACTATAGGTCGCCATTGCCAAAAACTGACACAGGATTTTTTTTAAAACGTTGCAACGATTTTTATGTCGTTGTGTTGGGCAGAGAAAACTTACTGTAATCTTTAGCTTTGAAATCATACCAAAGATATCAAATTATTTTTAATATTGTATTTTTAAAACGGTAACAAAAATCTCAGCAAACAAAAAACTCTTATTATAACGTATACTTGTGAAAATAGCTCATCAAAAATAACGATATATCCGTTGTGATACAAAAACCGGAATAGTCGGGATCGTAAAAAACATCCAATAAAAAGTCGAATCCGGGCCCAATTTCGATCGCGGTCTGAACAAACCTGTCTTTCTTGTAGCAAATACCCTCGCTTGAACTTTTAACGGTATACAGCATTGAATACAATATCGTATCTACTTTTGCGAAAAAAAACCCGGAAAAATAAGAAAAACCGAAAAGGGGAACAAGTAAAATCATTGGCTATTTAAACAACTATTAGTTACTTTGGTATATCCATATTTATCATTGGTTTCCGAGACCAAAATATCTGTTTAAACATATCGTCATCCCACTATTTATCTTTGTCGAAAACAGATATAATAATATGTTTTAAACGGTTATTTTGCGTTCAGAAACCAGCGATTAGTGCTTTAAAATTTAATGGCGATCCAGAACAAGGTGAATCACCAATCACGTCTTGTACAACCCACACTCGATTAGTTTATATTGTGTGGTTCGTTATCCGTATAGTAAGTAGTATTTTACGGTTTTGAGATAAGCAAATAATGCGTGTTGAAGATTTTGCCCTTTTTTACGCCAACACAAAATGTATAATGCCCTTTTGTTTTAATAAACGAGATCAAAATCTCTGCATTAAACATATCGTCATCCCTGTCATTATCCTTGAAAGAACAGAGATAGCAACAAGTTTTAAGCGAGGATTTTGGTCTCAAAAACTCGCGGTAAAAAAAATCTCACAGAACAGTTTTTTAATCTTTGCAATATTCTCCTTTTAAATATTGATTTGTTCTGAATATCGAAGACAAAATTGAATATAAGAAAGATTGTTATCTAATCGAATATAAAACATGATTAGTTATTTTACGATGCTACGAACATAGACTAGCGAGATTCCTATATTATGTCTTGAAAGTCAAGGTCTTCTGACCGGTTGGCCATTGACGGCTGGACTTGACTACTTTTTATACAAGCTTTTGAATAGATTTTAGAACTATTCAAATGCTAACATAAATTCTTGTGCATACGATGTCATATAAGTGATTTTGTAGTGACGTGTAGTTAAAAACTTAACCTGAATAAAAAAAAGTTAAGCTAGAATATTGACCTAACTTTAAATCTTAATTAAAAAACCCGACTGACTTACTAAATGATTGCTTTTTTAAAACTAAGATGATAATATTTAAATGTTTGTAATTTAAACCAATAAAATAAACGGTAATATTATATGTAACACTTTCTTATTTCAGAATATACTCTTAAAAATCGAAAACAGCATAACGCTAATGATTATATTTGTTTACATTAATTCATGCAAAAATATTTTGTGTTAGTATTAACATCGAGTGTATCTTGTCAACTTTGTCCATTTACGAAGGACCGAACTTCATAAACAAACAAGAATTTTAATCAGCCAATTAAGCTTAATAAAATGTACGTATGAACAAGTGAAAGGATTGGATTATCGACCATCAGATTCAAAGCCGTACACGTGACATCATCAACTTGCCCTTGTCCCTAACTTGTACTATTCTTCCATACATCTCCATCAGCCCTCATATCTGAATTCACTCCCTTCATATACTCTTCACGTACACGTGACAATTGGGACCGAAACCACTAAGATGGCTTTTTAATCCTGCATTTAATGGTGGTATATTATAATTGTAATGAAAGCTTTAGAACTTTAGAGGGGTTAAGTGCCTACTTCCACTTGGCAACTAGTCGCGCGACTCTGGTTGAGGACGGCTATCATTTTTATAGCGGTTACGGTCGCGTGTGTGAAAAACACGCGACTTGATATAAAAAGTGTTTGCCATTTGCTGGTCGCGTGGCACTAAGTATATCTACGATAATATTCTTACCTGGAAGATAAGATGTTCTCGCACTGTTAGTGTTCCAATAAACAGATCCTGCTGTTGCACGTACGCTGACAGCGCGGTCAATGCCTCAGGAGTAGCAGGCTGGCCGTTGAGGGCCCTTGTGCCGCTGGATACCACCCCGCTGGGCGTCCTAAAGGTTAAGGTGTTGAGGAGTGTAGTCTTGCCAGCGCCCGATGACCCCATGATGGCCAGCAACTCTCCAGGGTACGCCGCGCCATTCACTTAAGGAATAATTTATTTTTTTAATTGATGACGTAAGTAATAAAATGTACAATTTGCATATCCTTAATTCCGATTTCATTTATTAACGCACATGATGACATTATTTTTATAAAGCAGTTTTATATTACATACAAAAAGTATCGCCTCGAATCAACCACACTGCGGTCGCCAGTTATTAGGAAGGTCTTTTTGGTTTTTTAAACACTCTCTACAGATTTAAAAAATAACAACTGAATTTTTGATACTACACTTACCACTTCTTAATAATTGTTTTCGCTGCTGGAACATTCTATCAGAGGACGGCTTCCAGAAGTTCCAGAATCTTCTGTCTCTAGACCTGGACTCGGTAGCGAAGGCGTTGACATCTGCCCATGTGTATGTGACCTTCTCCGTGCCGCCAATGGCGCCATAGTTGCGAGTCTGAGGTATTGCCAACGTCACCTCACCGCCACTTGTTCTTGGTGAACCACTTGGTGTGTTACCATCCTAATGAACAAAATATGTATCGTAAATTAAATCTTATAATGAAAATGTCACACTTCGTGTATATTGCCGAAACACTTGTAACATAACATGGAATGAAATTGCATGATCGTTTGGGGACGGTATTTAATTTGCAAATTGCGGTATTAAATTTTGTATTAACATTTGTATTTATTAAAAAATATAACATATCTTCAATGGACGAAATTATCAATTAATAGAAACGTTTGTTCGATTGTTATTTCATAATTAGATATTATTAAAATTGGTTTAATGTATTCTTAAATCAATCTAGTTGAAACTAGTTCAAATTACGTGCTCATTTAAAATTAGGAAGTATAGATAAAAGTTCAAGATATATTTAAATGTTTGTCTTACTTCCTCAAACGATTGAAATAAAAAAATGCAATCTTATTTTTAGCACGACAAAATTAAATCAATACCGTAACAAGTCATTAGCATTTTTCGAAAAAAAAAAGATTGCCTATTAATAGATTTTACGCATATTTTATTTTTGATTTATTCATTTTTTCTTGACTAAACTAAAAATAGAAATAAATGAATGTTAACAGTTCTTGATTATAAAAATAATCCATTGTTTTAATGAAACAAAAAAAAAAGAAAGGAAATTTAAAAAGTTTTTTTCTTTTTATAATATGTTGTTAAAGATCCTATGCAATAAATGAGCATACGTAAAATGTATTATATTTTTGTATTAAGAAATATATGTTAAAGTTTTTGTTTATTATTTAAATTTATATATTTTTATATTTACGATTGGGATGGAAATCAATAACTTGGAATCAATAAAAAGGAATGCTTTAGAACTTTAGGGGGGTTAAGTGCCTATTTCCACTTGGCAAGTAGTTGCGCGAATCTGACAGTAGACGGCTGCCATTTTATATATTGCCCATGTAACTTAGGGTAGGCTTCGAGCCCCTCGGTAGGGAAGTATAGTAAGCTGATGATGATGAAAAATTACATAATAAAATATTATACAACGAACGAAATACAAAATGTGATGGTCAACCACGTATAGAAATTAATACATACGATAGTATAAGTACTTTTGAAATGAAACCTTAACCTTCTGAAATATAATATTTCCATATACGATAACAATAAATAGGGTCTTTCTTTAACGTACAAGCTCATTCTGTACACTTATCAACAAACTTAATTTACAATCAACGTTTGAATACGCGCAGGGGCCATGGCCGACCTCGACCAATTAACATAAAACCATCATTATAATAATATTTCGAAGCTTCCTATCTCAAGGTTTGTTAACCTATTTTAATAGTAAAAATTATTTCTTTCGCAATTTTTTAAGTTTATATCTCAACAAAATATCATAAAGAGGTTATATAATTTATCATCTTTTCTCTACAGTATTTTAAAAATGGAAAATACAAATGGGCATTTAAAAACTAGATAAGACACAGTTTATTTGACGCAACAGAGACAGGTAGACATTTAAAAAAGTGGAGTCGAAAACTTCAGATATAACTAAGTGTTTGTCAAAGAATATTCCGTATAAATGTTTTTCTGTTTACTCGTACATGTGTTTTATTACACTAGACATGATAGCAAGTTTTTCATGCATCATCACAACAAATATCTAAGATAAGAGCGCGCAAAATTACTGGTTTTTTGTTGTCCGTAAAGTCTAAATAATATTTTTTTATATTTCATAATTAAAAATTTATATTTATAACACACATTGTTTATAATTTATTGGATAAAACATTCGAAGGGAAAATCTCCTTTTTAATAATTAAACCGTTTATTTCCTGTATAAAAACATCTGTACGGACATACTGTCATCTCTTGTTTTTTCAAGGGGAATGAAAGAGACGACTATACTGTGACATTATGTACAAGTTTATAAATGATCATCGATACAAAAATGAAATAGTAAAATATAAATACGTTGTATGACCAAAGTTCTTTTGCCATTTTTTCTATAGATACTCGTTGAATCACTAGTTTGAATTTCGAACACGTCGAGCTACCAACCGCTACAATTAGCGCTAAAATGAAGAAAATCAAATAGGCACAAAATGACACTACTTATAGCCTATCCAATGGAATATAGCGGTCAGTGTACTATTGAATAATATGAAAGCCAGACTACTAAAATGTTAGCAGGTGTAACATAATTATTTATGTTGAACTCTAACCCTCCGCAGGTTAAAGAATGCCGGCCAAATCACATTAACTGAAACCGGATCCCTTACTTAGGCTTCACGGGAAAAGGTACGTGTGTCATCAAAGGCAACACTTATTGGAATACTTTTTAAATACGCTTATTTAATATTACATTTTTGGTTACAAAACCAACATATCTCTCTCAAAATTAACTTACTTGAAATGTTTGTAAGACTAGAAGTCATATCAACAGATGATTACTTAATATTTATTATATTTACTAGCTGTTGCGCGACTAGGTCTGCGCGGAATAAAAAAAAACATAATTAGTAGTCTATGTTTTCTTCTAGACTGTCTTCTACATGAAGCCGTTCTGGAGATATATAACATCCATCCATTTATACATTCTTATTTATAATATTAAGATTTTTAGCTACGTGATTCAACAGGATTATTATATCTAACAAGCCGTGTAATGGTAATAAGACGACACGTGACTACAGTCGCGTCAATCACGGATGATTGAATAATAAGACTAAAATTAAACAAGTTTTTCCACAGCGTAGTGTAACATAGTCTTTTGATATTGTAAATTTAAAAAGGAAATTTGTTTGTGATTAAAAATTCTATGATTCTATCATTATTCAGCTTCGATTTAAACAATTAAGCATACAGATGTTATTTTAAGCCTTTTACTACCTTTATCCACTGATGTAAAATTTTCAATTGTATCTAAAGTTTTGTTCTCTCTATAACAATAATTTGTTTATACTATACGTCTTCTCACAATTCTGGATTTGACATAATTTCAGTACAAAAACCGCACGAGTTTTCCGAGTTCACCGAACCAATATTAGGTTAGTATCAGCCAGTATTAGGTAATAGCCGGGGTATTAATGATCGGTAGTGACTAGTGACCGGTGTCGCACGAGGTATCGCATATCACCAGCCAACGAAACTCCGCCGGACCGTGGATCAGATATAATCTGTTGCACTGCGGCGGGTTTCGGAAGCCGTCCAAATACTTTGATGTCTATTGTAGAACTACTTACGATATGGTTCTAATTAACCTAACAGTTTAGAAAAACTATTTCAGTATTATAAATATTGAAAGTAATTTTTATATGTTGTGAAAGCAACTGACTAACGACTCACTCAAGAATCTGATTAATCGGAGATACAAATCTAATGAAGATTATTTTATTTACCTTATATATGAGAAATCAATCGCCTTTTAAATGACGATTTTTTTCTGTAATCGATTAAAATTGACGCAAAAATAATACGGCATCGATTATTGGGTACGGGCGTTAATCTCGAATACTATAAAGTTTGTACACTTTTTTGCAATTGTTAGAATTCATTATGTAATATAATCTGCAGTCTTTAACAAAATAGTAGATTTAAATTTATCAAAATTTTAGTTATAACGTTTTGAGTCTTTGACGGGGAGTTTTTAAGTTAACTCTAAGTCCTAACATTGCAATTGAGTGTGAAACCGCAATAAATTTTAAATATTAGTATTCAGTTTCGTTGGGGCAGTCATATTGAGTCTGGGAATATTTCCCACGATATTTTTACGTTTAGCATTGGCCATTTACATATTTTATTATTCCACTATTTAAGAAGTTGCATACTAATTCAATAACTTTGGTTGAGAGTTCAATTATTGTGTGGAGGGTTCCATAAAAATAATTTTCTTTGTAGACTAAAAAAGACGCGAAAAAGTTTAACAGCAAACTTTTTTTAACATTTCGACGCTTTGTAAGTAAGAAGAGTTAAATTCAAAATGTTTTCATCGCCATTTGAAACTTTGAACATGGAAAAGAATAAAAATGTAATTTTGAAGTTTATTTCACCAGCAGATATCGAAAATGTCTGAAGATTTTTGTATGGAACCCTATCTTGTCTGAATTTTTATAAAACTAAAATTTGTCTAGATCTTGAAACTTTATTAATCAGTTATTAAAACGCTAAGGTAGTGTTAATCTTGTGTACATGTATAGAATATCGCGTCACGATGTATGTACGCGATAAACTCCGAAATGATAGAAATAATTTTTATCAAATTTCGTAAGATAGGATAGTTTTTTCTTAAATACGTAGGCTACTAATTAAGTTTTTTTTTCGCGCGGACGGAGTTGCGGGCGACAGGTATAATCTTATAAATAATTAATTAATCCGAATTATAATGCACAGCAACCGGTGTATTTTATAATATTTGTTTTCCTAAATTTACATAAAAACCACAAAATGGCCTAACAACTGTATAATTATTATATAAGCCATAAATCAATGTAAATAAATTTCCAGTCTTATCTGTCATTCCATGTAGGTTGATTTTAATTATGAATAAAAAAAAATTACATAAATACTCGTAATTAATAAAGAATCTAAAGAATAGTCTTAAATAAAATATTAAAAACGAATAATTTACTAAAATTAAAAAAATCAAAGAATTAGTTTAGCTATCCAACGGGGGAACGCTGCCAGTATCTTCGGGACCTTGCCTAAAGGAACTCCTTTTAATAATATATTTTAATAGTTAATTAAATATTACTTGATGACTTTTCATTATATAAATTTTACTAAATGTTTCAATGGTTGTCCCCAATGTGTTCGTAAGCCACAGGAAACATTCCAATATGGTAGGATGGTTTAAGACAGTCGAGGATAGTTTGTGCTCAAAAAAATCTTACTTTCATACTAATATTATAAATGCGAATGTTTGGATGGATGTATGTTTCTTTGAATATGTCTTCAAAAAGGCTGAATTGAAATTTGACATACATATAGAACATAGTCTGGAAGAACGCATAGGCTACTAATTACGTTTTTTTAATACCGCGCAGAACGAGTCGTGGGTAACAGCTAGTCTACGTATAAAATCTAAAGACGGTTTCAAGCGGTACCTATATTAGGCAACAGGAAGTTCACTATTACGATGAATAGGCAATGATGAAACGAACTGGTCCATTTAATGTAAGCCATCTCCGTGAATTGCCAAATGTAATTGATACTTTGGATCGTCAAACATCGATAAATTCCGAATTGTATTTTGTATTTATTATATAATATTTATATAAAAAGAATAAAGTTCCTAAAAGCCGTATTTCATTTGGCCTAATGTTTTAATTACATTTTTAATATAATATTTTTTAATTTATTTTTGTAAACACATTAACAAATTAAATTACTAATACAATTATAAATTAACTTCTAATGAAAATAGTTTAATGATGAATAGTTTCAATTTTACACTTTTCACCCACTAAAACATTGAAGCAAACTTAATTGTGAGAATTGGAGCTTCGAGCTTCAATAAAAAAACTCGTTCCGTGAGTTCGGTCCTATTCACGGTCAGGCCACTGACTTGAAATGATTATATTAATACTAATTTAAAGTTATACTATTTGAATCGTCTCATTTTTAACCGTGAAATATTCTACGTATTTTACTGATCAAATTATTGCCATAACTCTATTTTTTACTTTTTCTTTTCAATCTCTTTAAAAGCTTGTTTCTGTATTTTGTGCAAGACATAATAATCAACTTTAATTAGCTAAAAGTTTTTTTTATAAATTAGGAATACTTCTAAATTTGAAGTCAAATGTCACACAACCGAAATTAAAATCAAATCTACACGAGAGCTATTCGTTCAAATAATTTCTACGTAAAATAAATCCTAACCTAAACGATCGTAACACAACATTTCTTATCTTCATGCAAATATTCAACATTCCGAAGCAACGTGGGATGGCCTATGCTGTCGTATTTCTACAATTTATCTAGTTGTATAATGTCGACAGATTCCACATTTATTTCTTATAAGCCTATAACATTTATTGCCGCACTCAAAGACGTTAATTGGTTACTAAGGGTAATCCTTTGTGTAAGTTTCTCATACAAAATCTACACATAGAGAGACTGCTCAACGGATCTTCGGCAGCTAGTATTATGTCTACATTATCTGCTCTCTTCTCAATTATTCTAATCACCCTGAGTTTTTGAGACGAAATATACCCATTTCATACATATTGTTATCTCTGTTTTATCAGAGATGAAAGACAGGGATGACGATATGTTTTATACAGATTTTGGTGTAAGAAACCCACGGTCAGTAAAAAATAACTTCTAAATATTTACTCATCTCATTCTCATATTTTAAGTAGTTATAATAGCAGCCACCGTAAATAGAATAAATGTAAAATTTTCCATCGGTTTAAACTTGTTTTAAAACGATTATTATTTCGTTGCGATGTTGTTCCGGTCCCAACCTTGTGGTTACAAATAAGCTTATTAGTTGGTTACTTTTACATGTTGTGAAATACTGACACCGACCAGTTAAAAATATATACTTTTTACGAACGTCCTTTACACCAAGTTTACCAAATACAGAAATATATTTTAATTTAAAGCTTTTTTATATTTTGCCTATAACAAATGTACACGTGTAACGTATGAAGTACGTGAATCTTAACCCCATTTATAAAAACAAACGATTTAAATAGTTTTATCTGTTCCAAAATCTAAAAGCAAAAAATGACGCCTGTTGATACTTCCATGCACCGTTTCATCCTCCCTTTTAACCATTTTTCGCAGGAAAAACTAACCCATGTCCTTTCTCAGGATCTAGACTACATGTGTACTAAATTTCAATTAAATCTGTTCAATAGTTTTGGCGCGGAAGAGCGACAAACATACTTTCGCATTTTAATATTAGTAAGGCTAAAGATGTAACTTAGGGGTAAGTTCTATATTTACATATTTAAGTGCCCGATTGATTATTTTATTACATGATTAATATATAATATAAAAATTGACTTCATTCGATTGGAAATAAAAATAACTTTTTTAACATCCTTGAAATAATATGCTCGGATGTAATAAAATATAGACTATTATAGATCGAGTCGAGCAAATATTATAATTTGCAATTCTAATTTGTATGAAATCAAGTTAACAATTATCTATCCATATCTATGAAAACCTGTTTGAAATCATATCTGTACATCAAATATTCCATTTTAATAATACTAGGACCCTCAAAATTAATATATATTCTACAATAATAATGCACGGAAAATTCCTACAATTCAAAAAGTCAATTCAAATTGAATGATAAAACAAAATAATTAATAAATTGAGACATTAATTATTTCAAGAGTAAAAGCTTATTTATAAAGTTTATATAACTAACCTGGGGCGAATTATTATATGTAACCCGTTGATTATCCACAGAAGAAGAAATCAGTGGTTCATGTTCTTCCGATCCGGCAGTCATTTTGAATATAAATTTAATTTAATTTTGAACAAAACAATTAAATAAATCCTACTTAATTTATCACAATCATGTTAACCACTAGATTTTACTAAATAACTACACTATATTTAGTATATTCTGTTGTTATTTATTTATTTTAATTGGCGTGAACGTTGGAAAAGCGCGGGGTGACCTCACACGGTATGAACTGCACTGCGGACGTTCACCAACTGACGAACGTATTCGTCTTTCCATCGTCGTTGAACATTTCTTAAACCGTCTCTTTGTTTTTAGATACAATTTCTATTTGTTCTGTGTCTCAAGCAACTCTTGTTGATTTAGTGATAATTGGGAGTTGACATTAGTAAAGATGCTTTCGTTATTATATTTAAATGAGGTTGTACAATTACACCAATTGAGTCTTAAATATATATTTATACGGTTCATTTAAAAAAAAAATAATTTTGAAAAATTTATTTAGTCATAACTTGGTTATTTTAATTTTTTTATAAGAGAAAGGGGGCAAAAGAGCAGGGGGAACACCGAGGACAATACCAGAGGAACCGCTGATGCATCGTCAGCCTTTGAGATGGTGATACGCTCGCGTCTAGGACCCTAAGTCGTAGAAGTTTGGTTAATTCTCATCCTATTTAAGAATGAGATGGAAAGGGGTTACTAAGATTAAACTTGTTAAATTAAGTTCCTCCTAATACACTTAAATCCATAAAATTTAACATGAAAGGAAAAGAAAATATACCTGTACGTAAACATTTATTCAAAAATCATATTGGAGATAGCAAATAATTATTCAGTAAATTATTTTATACAATAAATGAAATATCCTTTATTACTTTCGTTATTCGTATGATTAAATGACACATGACAAAGGAACTATTGTATCGTACATTTGAGATGACATTACCTTAACAATATGCCTTATAAATATGGGCGACAGTTAATCACTTATATCTAATTCACAATATCGCCAAGTTTTCACTTATTCGCTCGATATATTTGGTTATTTCCCTACAAACATACTACACTTTATATCCAATAGTCTTATACCATCAACAGATATAGTTTAATATAAAACTGCTACAAATTATATGCTTTAAAACAAGACAATTGGTGATATCCTCTAAAGCACTCGATTATCAACTTTATTTATATATAAATAACACATATTTACATTGCACAAATGAAGATCGGGTACTTAAACGTAATATTAAATACAAAAATTATATTAAGGTATCGGATTTAGCACTACATTAGGAAGCATTTTAAATTATACTATGCCCTTATATGATTAATGATTTCGATATAAATTAAAGGTAGGTACACACTGTGTAATAATGCGTTATAAGCGAACAGTATTAGAAATACACTAGTTCATATGTCAAGGAGTTTCAATGAAAATGTTAACCTTCCTATATGTATAAAGCCAATACATTCTATTCTCCACAAATATCACAGTAGTGTATTCCTACCTTTATTTACAGAAATTGTATCAAGGAGTATGTTTGGGATAGACTACACTATGGTTTTTGCAATACTTTAACTGATATTTAATTATAAAAAAATCCCTTGCTATTGCCACATTTGATCTCAAACACGATGTATGAGAAATAGTGATTCAGAGATTTCCAGTTACAAAATTCAAAAAATAAATATTATATACGACAACATGTTTAATATGTTCAATAAATAATATGTTTATAATATAATTAACACTATTCGGAAGCTATTGTTTTTGGAAGAGTATTGGCATAATGAATATTCAGTAGGGTAAATGTAAACAATATAATCATTGCAGTACTGATTTTATATCCTTTTGCTTTTTAAATATAGGATACGCGACTACGAAATATATTACAATCTCGGTGACCTTAATAAATTTGCAACAATTATTTATACACAACCGGAGTTCATTTTATATGGAATTATGTGCGTTTTTTGAGTAAATAACGATATTTTCATTGAATTTTTAGTGTTTTGAAGCCTTTTTGTATTTGATATTTATGACGTAACAATTATTGTCGTAAGTTTTTATTAATGCTTTTGCAAAATGTATAATATAAATTAAAAAAAAAACTCGTATCTGAAGTAATCGCTGTCCGACTGTCAACTTTTAAAACAATGAAACAGGCAGACAATCGTAAATGGCAGCCATTTTAAAAATCATAAATATTGCTCTTTAAAACAAAACTGTCAGGAAATGACGTTTGCTATTAATATTTATACAATCCTTAAATATATTTCGAGGTCACATATTATGTTTATAATGCGATCAGTCTGACACATTATATTTGGCAGTGTATTGGATAGCTTTATTAAACGCGGTGCAGCAGCGGTTATGCAGCGTTGCCGCACCACATGTCTGGCATATTGGATACTTGTGTTTAGCGTTACCAGGCGTCCGGATAAAGTCGAACATAAGGCTGTTTAATTGCGTATCCGGCCAAAATAAGCAGTTTCCGCGTTATCCGGCTTTTGTTTCACATTTCGCAAACGAGAGTGATTTTACATTTTTTTCTCGTACCTTTTAATACCCAGACAAAATCCTTAATAATGTCTGGCCTTTCTACACAAAAGTTTGGCCAGACTGGTTGGTCTGTCCGACTATTATGTTTAACGACTTGGTAACCCTACTTGAGTTTAACAAAACTTTAGGACAATGCACTTCGGATTACAGTCCGATTAGCCGAACTAGCATCAAGGACATAGACAAATGTATGAAGAAACGAGTTTATAGTTGTATTTTTTAACCTAAGAAGTTAAAACTGAGATTTAAAAATTATATATTTTTCTAGCAAGTATTTGGGCATTCCTACATTTACAACATGTATATGCATACGTTGTAATAATTTTCCATACTTATATATTAGCATTAAATTATTATAATACAAAAACGAGTTTGAAAACAACTAAATTCAAGTCGCGAGTTAAATATGCAAATATCTTATATACAACATACATTTGAGCAAAAGAAATACTTTTATTCATTTTAAACAAAATTTTGCTTGTCATTGACGTAATTAATACAAATAAAATGTTTCTCAACAAAACCTTAAAATAAATATTTTTATTTTTTTAATGTCTTTCTCTTAGAATTTTATCAATGATAAATAGTTCCTTAAAATCAACTTTCTGTTTAACGACAATCAAAAAATAATTAAATTGTTTACATCGACAAAGAGAAGAAACGTCTAGAAATATAATCATAAGAAACGTTAATTTAACAAAAAAAAAATTTATATAATTTCAAAATACAAATTAAATTTAATTCTATTTTTAAGAAAATGAAATTTACAATAAATGGATATTAAAAAGCCATAAATATCCATTAAATTTGCGTATTTGATTAATTATTATAATAATGAAGTTACATTATGTGTTTTCATTGAACAGTTTAGTAATTTAATTTCACAATATTACAATATATCATTGAGAAGACATTATACATATTACGACTAACGCAATTACCTAATTGTTTTATGACTTAATTATTAATTAGCTAGCAATTTGAAACAAATATATGAATCAGTACAAAAACTATAATACACAGAATTCTTGATATACATTTCAGACACGAATAGTGTTATGTCTATTACTCTGTCATAACTCACCGAGAATTTAGTTTAATTTTTTTTTATTTACCCTACTTATCTCGATCCCGCCCCGTTTTTATGCAAACCAGATGAATGAATCGTAAAATTAGCCATCGTATTTCGTCAGCTTTAACCATTGGTTATTTATCCCTTGAACCATGTAGAGTGGATTAAATCACGTAATCAGAGCCATCTTAAACCATTTACTGTCGAATACTTGTACAAATTCTTTAATGAAACAGAGATAACAAAATATTTTTGTTAAAAAAGCCTACATTCATTAATACATAATAAATATCAAGATAACAAATATGTGGATTGACTATGTTTTATATTTCGACTCAGTTCGTTTACTTGTGAGCGAAGCTTTTAATCTTACGATATAAAAAGTATACCTGCTTTAACCGGTTCTTACTGCAATAGGGTGACCAAATTTTTGTTATTTATAGGACATTGTACAAATTAATGGAATTAAATTAATTATTTATGTGAATAAAAAAAAACAAAAAATATTAAAAAAATATTATTTAAACGATAAACTGATTGATTTTGTTTTGATTTAATTTTACCTATACTTCTAGAAACAACACGATGGCTTAAGCTTTCAGTTTTTTTATCGGATATAAGTTGCCAACATCTGTCGTACATCTAAATCGGGAATATGAAAAAAAATCTTTAGCCAAATAGGGAAATGTAAAAGAATACACACAAAATATACAAATGACACAATAAAACATTTCGCATATGGGAAATGTCTCTTTAAATGTTGGTCACCTCAATTTTAATACATTAAGACGCTACAAGTTAAGAATGTTCTGATGACGAGTAAAAGTAATTATTAGTTAAAAAAATGGGTGAATGTCCACTATAAGTAACGACATACACAAGAATAGTAGATAGATTTTCTGATACTCATGTATTTCTCCAAGGCAACGTTAAAATTTCTACCTTATTGATACGATTTTCGAAAATCGCCAATTACGTTAAAAAACTAATACAATTTTTTTTTAATAATTTAATTGTCATTTAAATTGCGTGTACATTAATTTAGAATTATGTACAGATACATAAAGGAATTTCAAGAGATGTATTTTATCTTTAATTTTGGTTGTATACATTTACGAGCTTTGTTTTTATCACATATTGTAAAAGCATCTTGTTATTAAAGGTTCATTGCCCAGTTCCGCTTACATATATTATTACATCTTCATTTTATAAACAACTTTAAGTTTTTTAAATGAACTGTAAATTCGACAAAATTTAACAAATATAGTACGGATCCCATTTAACTTTTTATTCTTTTTTTTGTTTTGTCCAACTTTCCAAGCCAATATGTTGACATCCTAGTTGTAGTTGTGTTTACTTAACTTAGCTTACTTTTGTTTTTTTTGCGGTGGTTCAAGCCCTAAGTAATAGACATAGCACTTTATTATATTTCTAATTTTATGTCACTAATATAACCTACATCTGGTAGACATTAGTTGATCACTGAGCGACATAATATTCTACAAATATTAAAACTAATTGCTTTTCACTACCAATTTCCTAGCTGTTTCGCAAAAAAAACTCAATCAAACAACTTTGAGTACACACCATGAGGTAGGCAAAAGTAACAAAAACAATATTAAATACGTCACTAATAACATTTTGATCCTAAACCGAAGCCGTTAATACTGCTAAAACTATTATACTTATGCCTTTAACCGTGAGTTTCTGACACCTCCCTGTATAACACGTATCGTCATTCTTGTTATTCATCATCAGCTCACTATACTTCCCTACCAAGGAGCTAGGAGCCTACCCTAAGTTACGGGTGATTACGCCATAGTCAACCACGCTGGCCAAGTGCGGGTTGACTTCACACATATCTTTGAATTTCTTCCCAGATGTGTGCAGGTTGCATCACGATGGTTTCCTTCACCATAAGAACGGCGGATAAATGTATATATGTAAATCGGAAATCGAAAAACACATCGGTACATAGCGGGATTCGAACCCAGGACCTGTAGATTCCAAGTCAAGTGCTCGACCCCTGAGCCACCGACGCTCATCCCTGTCATTATCTTTCACAAAAACAGAGAAAACAATATATTTCAAACGGAGGTTTTGGTCTTAGAAACTCACGGTAAGTCACTGATCTCTATAAATGGATAGGCTATTGCTTGGAAATGACAGAATGCTGCGTCACAAGCCGCTATCAGCACCAAAATGGTGAAAAATAGGCACAAAATACTATGTCTTATAGCCAGTCCATTTATAGGTCAGTGCTTTAGGTCTATAGGTGATTTAAACATATTAATGCTAATTTCTATGTGCAAACGTTCGCTACTTACAACTAAACTCAATGAGAGCATTTATATTATATCCCCAATAGTTACAAGCCTTTATTAATGGGGGAGCTTCAGGCAAATGCGGCCTTAATCTTCAAAATGCCAATTAATTCATATTTTCCTTAGAAGAATCTTAAACTAAGAAATGAAACGCGCATTTAAATGTCGAACTCTTAACATTTACATACTAATATTATCTTCAACTTTTTCAATATGATAAAAAAAAATCATTTACAATGGTTCATATTTGAAATTAGTTTATTGAAAGTTGAAAATGTTTGATAATTTCATCCACACTCAGAGTTAAATCAGTCACTAAGAGTCAGTTTTTACATAGTTTTTTACTAGACTGCTCAAGTAAAACAATTTTGAATGTGACAGTTTAACATCTAAGTTACGATTTTCTGCTTTAATTTAAGTCAATTTAATTCATACGATTATTATATAAATCGTCAATAATTATACGCGTGAACGCATTATATCACAGCCAAAATGGCCGACATTTGCCCAACGAACGCGCCCCTTCTTAAATATTAACTTATAATTACAATACCAAATCTCACAAGACTTTGTTAATTGAATGCGATTTTAATATTCATCTATTTATACAATTAACTGTCGCCCGCGACTCCGTTCGTGCAGAATTAAAAAAAAAGTAAGTATCCTATGTGTGCTTCCAGGCTATGTTCTACATATATACCAAATTTCTGCGAGATCCATACAGCCTTTCGCATTTATAATACTAGTAAGATTAAGATTGCAAACTAGCTATTTCCAGCATGTACAGTTATGTTTTATTTAATAGATGAATCAAGATAATAAAATGTTTAAATTGTTATTAAATGATAATAAGAGTCAAAAAAAGGTAAATAAATGATAGCTATATGATACAGTCAAACTTAAATAAGCGAGGAACCTCTATGAGCAAAAGTCATACGGGAGACTCGAGTTTTTCTCGCTTATAGAGGTTTCTCGATTATCCAACGGGGCTATTAAAAATGCTTTCGCTTAGAAGCGACTCCATAACGAATTACAAAAATGACGCGCGACAATTACTTGATTTATGGAAAGTTATTATCGCTATACATTTTTAAAGTTAGGTATAGAATCACTTCGGAGGGAATGCATTTTGTCTAGCCCCGCAGGTTTTATACATTTACAAGTTAGGTATGTATTTAAAATATAAAACCGCATTCAATTAACGTCACCATAACTATTTCAATATAAATAACATTGGTGTGACATTCAACAGTAAAACAATGCTACAACTAGACTAGTTACCTTCGCATATGCTTTTGCATCGGATACATCAGTTATTTATATTTACAATAATTGTTTTTATTCCTCATAACAATAAAGTAGTCGGTGTCGACACCAACTACTTTAGGACTCTAAACTAGTCGGTGTCGGCACCAACTACTTTAGGACTCTAAACTAGTCGGTGTCGGCACCAACTACTTTAGGACTCTAAACCTGTCAGTGTCGGCACCAACTACTTTAGGACTCTAAACTAGTCGGTGTCAGCACTAACTGCATTAGGGCTCGTTATTTTTAACACTTTCTTAAATTTTTAGGACTTTTTAGTGTCAAAAGAACAAAAAATACAATTTGCTAGGATGTAAATTGGTAACAAAACACATTGAGATTTGAAGTGCATGTTATTTGAAATTTTAAGCAACGGATGATCTTATACAGAAATTTATTTCAACAGTTCTCTCATGACTGTAAAAAAAGTTGGTTTAGTATTATTTAATATGTCAATACTTCACAATAATTTCAGAGCAGTAAAATTATCTTAAGATCTTCTTGTACAATATAAATGCAATTAGGAACTAAAATGTGAAGATATATTGACATTTTACGACTAAATTATACATTTGAAAATTTAAGATACGCGTCCATTCGCCCGCGCCGGACGCACCGCACGCACGGCCCTAAAGATTTTAGTGCGGCGCAGGCCAATGTACGCGTACCTTTAATCTCTTTCAATTTGCTGACGAATTAAACAGGATTTTTTAATCAAGAGTTTCCCATAAAGCCTATACAGAAAAATGACAATATGTTTATGTACAGATTTTTCGTCAATGGAAACCCACGGTTAGGTTTAAAATTTTTGAATCGAAACATAGTATTCAGTTCACCAAATGATTTAACATTACTATTTTGTATAATTTGCACAGAACACTTGAGCCATGATAGACACAGCGTAAAATCTTATCACTATCACATTATTTCACAACTTCACTATTAACTGTGTATCCGTTGCAGAAACGCGTTCGCAAAAAGCGACTTAATCACTAAGCGATAGAGTTTAAAATTCACTGCGACCCGACCGGCAGAGGTCCACAACTAAGCTTCAGCACCAGCAAAGTTCCGGAACCTGCAGTTCCATGCTAGCACAACTCCGGAGAGTCAGCTCGAGGCGGAGTTGCGGTTTACAGCGTCTGTGGCGTGTGCTTCGACGGCTGGCGCTTCAGCCGCCTGCTGACGGGTCACTGTCGGTTGTTCTTGTCGATGTTGTGGAAGGCCCAGTTGAAGGACGTCTTCCACGAATTCTTCACCGCCTCGATGAACTTCAGTCGGAAGTGCTCCAGCGCTTTCTCTTCCGATAAATCCATTACCTAATTACATGAATTAATAGTTCATTAAACATGACATAGAAAATGAAATTATTTTTTTTCTTTCATAGTATAGTAATATTATTCATAGATTAATTATAAAAAAATAAAAGAACTGTATATAATGTAGCAAATATAATATAACATAGCACATACCAATGTTTCTCTGAGATACTGCAAGTCTTTCTCTGAGCGCAGTTCCGGCAGACCCGTGGAGATCATCATGGAGAACAGGGACAGGATCAAGTGACCATGCTTCCTCAATATTTTAAATGCCTAAGGAGAAAAAAATAAACATCCGAATGATTGTCACCCTACTAACTATATAATTATTTTTTATTATATGCATTGTATTAAACATATTAGCATCTTTTTTATGCACTTAGAAAAGAAACATGACAACATGTTCCAGTACGAATGTCACGGCAGTAGTCATCATCATCAGCTCACTATACGTCCCCACCGAGGGGCACAGAGCCTATCCTAAGTTAAGGGTGATTAGGCCATAGTCAACCACGCTGGCCAAGTGCGGGGTGGTTACGGCAGTAGTATTTGACGGTAAATTTTATTATGGACTACAAATTAGTATTGATGGAAAAAATTGCATATATAGTCGACATGGCTAAGTGACAGTTCAAGGGACCGAGATATTTGCTTATAGAGATTTCTCGCTTACCCGAGTTTCTCACAGATAGAGGTTTCTTGCTCATCCAGGTTCGACTGTATATTTTTATGTAATGGCATTCACAAACATGTCCAGCCGAGAGTGCATTAAATTAGCAATATTTTTTATATATATTTACCGTTTCGCAATGTTCTTTGAATATCTTAAAGTCCACAGCCTCGTTGCCGCCGGATACACGCTGGCCCTTGTTGATGACGTGTATGAAGTCATGTGTGAGGACGAAGGGCACGCGCTCGCGTTTGAACCCGTACTTCTGCTTAAAGTGGCCCAGGAAGTGGCCAAAGTCAATGTGGAATAGCTGCAAAGAAAAAAGTAGTTCTAGAAATTTCTCAAGTAGGTGCTTACAGATCATAGATGTAATCTAAACTGTATGTCTAGATTTTTCAATGCAATAATCTAAGTGAACTTTATAATTTGTAAGTAGCCTATGTGATCTTCGAAATTATTTTCTACATCTATGCAAAATTATAGCGAAATATCTTTAGCCCTTCTAAGAAAACATCCATCCATCCATACATACGTCGAAACTTTCGCATATATTATATTATTGAGATGTATTGACCCACCTGTCCACACTTCTTGACCATAATATTATCAGAATGTCTGTCAGCGATGCCCAGCACATACGTGGCGACACAATAACCCGCACAGCTCATTGTGAACTCCTCCACCGCCTTGTTGAACCCGCTCTCACTCGGGTTCTGTTTTCTCAGCCATTCTGCAATCAATCAATCAACACGTAAATATCACTTTCATTAAATAAATATAATATAAAAGGTGTCGTCCGCGACTCCGTCCATCCGATATGTGTTCTTCCAGATTATGTTTTATATCTGTACCAAATTTCATCAAGATCTATTGAGAAGTTCCAGAGATACCTCCTAACAAACATCCATCCATCTAAACTCTCGCATTTATAATGTTAGTAAGAAGTAAAGTGTACTTACGGAATAAATTGGCTTTGTATATTGTAGATGCGGCGTTGAATAGCGCACTCTGCTTCTGTATGTTGGCGACAGTCTCCGCGTCGTCCACCACCTCGATCATGCCCACCGCGTACTCCATTGATATGCAGTTGTATGGGTTCAGTCTGCACATATACATAAAAACATATAAACCATTTGCTCTCGGCCGCGACTCCGACCGCACGGAAGTAAAAAAAAAGCTTCATTACTACATAAAATATTCTTCCAGAATATGTCAGTACATAACAAGTTTTTATGCAACCTTCAGGTCTACAATTGAGATTATTCCTTAATATTATACCTAAAGTCATATCCCGCGTTCTTCCACAGCCTGTCCATGATGCGCAACATCTGCAGCGTGAACATATCCTGGCGCAGGTCGTCTCCTATCTTCAAGATTATACGAATGTCCGCGCCCGTCGGATCTACGTTCTCAAACTCCAGCATCAGCGGCCGCATCTTACTGTCCATTACTCGACATCGTTCCGGTCTGGAACATAAAACAGTTTGTTTAAATGAAATCCTTAAAATAACTTGGGTATTTTATGGAATATATAAACCAAACTCATTAAACTTAAAGAGGCCTTAATTTGAGACATTACCGACAGACTACGTGAATGGTATTCATCAAACATCACAACCATCAAGAACACTTTTGATATGATTCGCGAAGTCTTTACTATCGCTTGGTAAGTACTGAAGGCAGAAATTAAATTATTTGGTTTCAAATGTATGTTACATACATAGATTTGTGTCATAAAGAGGTTGAAAAAGTCGGCTTTTATTAAATAATGATAGAAATGAACTGACTTGATCTTCTTGCAGATGAGGCTGGGCGTGAGGGGAGAGACGAAGTCGCAGAGCGTCTCAATGCAGTGCTGCTCCTGCAAGTGTTGGTGCAGCGCCGCGCGCGCCTTTGATATCTCTTTCTTCTTACGCACACATTGACTTGCCCCTAGAAATATAAAAAATAGTATTACTGAAACATTCACATAAGACATGTGATAGATTTTCATATGAATAAGATATTTATAATTGGCAGTGTGGCATCAGGGCAATATTTCGACTTACGCGACGCCTAACATTAGCCAATCTCTTTACGTTACCTTATATTTGCTAAAACAAAGGTTACTGAATTTCCCATGAATGGAGTCACGGGCTATAGCTAGTTTAAATATAGATGAAGTACATACATTTGAGTTTGTCTAGGCAGGTGATCTGTCGCATGAGAGTGTTGATGTGGTCCTGGCAGCCGCGGCAGTACGCCTCCAGCATCAGCCCGAAACGCACCGACACCGCCGCAACGTGCATCTCAGAACTACGACACATATTTAAACAACAAATATTTATTATATTAAAAACATGGTAAAAAATTTACTGTACATTTAATATTAAAAAATAGCTTTTTATCCCCTAAATAAAAAGTATCCTTAATCCAGAGGGATCTGTTGAATTTATATTAATTTTGATAAATCTTGAGAAAAAATCCTTTACTAACCGTAAATGCCAGAATAAGAAGTGTCCAATGGTCATGTTATTGTAGGCGCGTTGCAACAGGAACACGGACAGGTCGCACATCAGGTACGACTCGTGCTTCAGCGCCTGCACCAGCTGCAGCAAATACAATAATAGGTTCTCGTCCCTGCAATACAGAACAAAATCTTGTATGAGTATCATGACGTCACTTAAGTTAACCCTCTGAATGATGTTGGTATCCTTTGGCAAAACTTTAAATCTGCAATATAATTAAAATAAAATATAAATAAAAATTAAATACTATTCAAAGTCATAAAAGATTAAAAAAAAAATTAGTTAACAAAAATTTAATTAAAGTATTTTGTATTCAAATAATCTTATAACAATGTTCTTCCAAATTTAAACCTTTTATTATACATTTCATATTTTAACACTACTGCAAAAAAGCAAATTTTAAATTATTTACCAAATACCATATCAACTCCATCTATCGGTGCGCCCTGTAAATCAAGCTTACCATAGTTCACCGTTGCGGGTCTCTCATCGAGACTCCAGTAAAGCAACGCACCTGATCTCTGCCAGGCACTTAACAGCGAAGCTCCTGACTGCTGCATCAGCGTACGCATAGTCCAGCAGTTCCAGCGCCGACTCCACCCGCAGCATGGGCCAGCCGGCGACCATCCGCGCCACGCTCGCAGCCTCAGCGCGCTCACCCCATTCCACACATGACAGCAACTTTGGTAGTAATTCCGGCGCTTCCACGCGGAAATATTCCCTGTTAAATTGTTACAATAGAAAATAATAAAGGTACCTATGATAAGTTTAGTTTTACCTAATCGACCAGTCTCCACAATTAACGTTTACTGCTTTAGTATTATCGAGAAAAAAAAATATTTCGTAAAAATAACGCATCTGCGTTGTTCATAATGAAAAATCAATTTTTTAAAAATTCTTGTCTGTCTGTCTGTATGCCTGTCGGCAAATCGGGGGTAAGTTAAATATACTTTTTATTATTTATAAAAAAATCAATATATACCTGGAAGCCCAAATGTCTTTCTTCTCTTGCTCGTGCATTTCGTACATGGGGTCCTTTTCCGCAGTAACCCGCAACTGCTCGAAGTCGCGGCTGAGGCGAGCGATGACGTCAGGCGAGCCCAGCTCAATGTCGTCAGCGTAGGCTTTCACTGTCTCGTGCTTAGGGAACAGTATCGGGTACTGACAGTCGAAACTGAAACAGAACAGAAATTAATGAAATACAAAGTTGATCCAATGTCACTTCGCTTTATTTTCGATATCTTTTCTTTACAATTTATGATAAAATAAAAATATAATTAAATGGTATGTTGCATTAATAATGTAAGCATAGACCATTCTTCATGTTTTAATCTGTACTGAATAAAATGTACTATAGTTTCAAACATATCATTATATTCCACTAGTTTTTCCTTTTTTAAATCGTCACATATGGGTCGAGGCAAAGTCACCTACTGTGTTATGGCAAACTTTTGGCATTTTTTTTATTTTAAATAAAAAAAAAGATTTACATAGATTACATAGGATTTTCTCGCAGTTTCACGTAGTTAATATGATAAGTGGTATAGTAGCAGTAGTGTGACACTCACTTAGAGAAGCAGACCTGCAGCGCTGCGCAGGAGTCAGTGCTGGGGTTGGAGACGACGGTGCCGAGGGGATGCAGCAGCCAGTCGTCGCCCTGCGTCTCGTCCGCCACGTGCGTCCACATGTACAGCGTCAGCCCGCCCGTGCGCAGCTGCTCCTTGTAGTCGAATATCATAGTGTTCGCCCACGCCAACTTGTTTATAGAATCCTACACACAAAAATACACCAAATTCTATTTACATATTATTTTGTGTGTTCTACATCTATAACAAATTTCATGCAGCTCTCCAGAATAGCCTTCTAACAAACTTCCATCCATACATCCAAACATTTCTATTTATAATATTAGTAAGATTAGCAAGATTTACGGCAATCTCCACACAAACAGTACTACAAAAGCATTTCCACATACCTTGGAGTCTTTCCCCCGTCTCTTTCCCTTGGTCTTAGTGATTTCATAGATAACAAAGCAGAGGCGGGCCATCCGCGGCATGTTGTACACTTTGATAGGAAAGGTGAGCTCCTTGTCCCACTGCGCCACGCCATCCTTCGACGCTGTTTTTACTTCAGTCTTCTGAGCCTCGCATAGAGCTTTGCCTCCGTGAAATATACCAGCTTGGCAAACAACCTGACAAAAAAATTGTATGATATTATCAAAAGTACATTTGACAACTTGAAGTTTTACTTTTAATAAATATACAGGATATCATAAAATCCACTTGTCCTTGTTATCCATAGGTGATCAAAAAAAGGTAAGGGAAAAAGGATTAAAATTAGGCCTTCGGAACACACATAAGACAGGACACGGGATTACTTTCACTGAGGCATGTCTTCTGTGTGGTGGTGGTATTGCACCCATTTGTGCAACAGAAATTATTGTTTCCGCGGTTAATACTACTGTACTTTACTACTCTTTCTCTCAACAAGTTTTTGTATATGACATTGGAAATCTGTAGAAAATTTGATGCAGCAAGCTTACCTCTACGGGTCTGTCCACGTTAAGGCCGCTTACACTCTCCACCTTACACGTGTAGTTCTTGTAAATATTCCACGAAGACTCGTGGTGGTTTTTCTTCTTGCGTATCGTGTTAGAGTAATCTGGGGGAGCCTGCCGCCTTTCTATTGGTGTATCACAGCCCACTGAAAACAAATTTAAATAATTATTTTCTTATCGAACATGGGTTAACGTTAAAAATTCGCAGAGTTCTTGTTCCAGTATTACCATAATATTAATATCTTACTATTATTATAAATGCGAATGTTTAGATGGATGGATGGATGTTTGAGGGTATCTCCGGAACGGCTCTACGGATTTTGATGAAATTTGGCACACATATAGAACATAGTCTTGAACTACACATAGGCTACTTATTAAGTTTTTTTTAAAATCTCGCGCGGCCGGAGTCACGGACGACAACTAGTGATAAGTGAGTCGTTTTCATAGCCCGCGTTGCCGATAACTGTATTAAGTTGCTTGTCGTTCGTTTATTGTTGATTTGTTGTGAAAAAAGAACACTAATTAACAAACTTAAATGTTTAAATAATTACGTAATACTTACATGTCAATTTGTCCATACTGACGGTCATGACTTGAGGTACACCGTCTTTTGCTAACATCTCTTGTATATAAAGGAACTGTATGAGGGGCTCCTTGCCGAACAGGTATTCCTCCCTCCCGCACACCTTGAGCACGTAACTCCGGGGGTCCTCACCCCGCATGTTGAGAGAGTTCACCTTCTTCTTCAGTATCGTGTCGATGTGCTGCTGCGGAGTTCGCGATACTGGCACGTTGGTCGTGAATGAGAACTGTCAAAAAAAAAAGTCGCAGGCATTAGCTAGTAAACTAAGGATTGTATTCTACAACCCTATATTCAACCTCTTTATAAATTAAAAAAAAATTACAGTGACATTTTCAACTGACACAAAGTTGTCAACCCTCACTTCTGACACATTATAAACCGTATTATTTTAGTATTTATAATCGTATTTCAAATAAAAATGTTGAAATCACACTTCGACATCAGTCAGAGAGGCGAAGCTGAGGAAGAAGTTGTAGAAGAAGAAGAAGAAGAGGCGGCGAGGAGTGATTCAAGTGTGGTGGAGGAAGCCAAGAAAGTAACAGTTTTAAAAACGAAACCAACAAGCGCTGAGAGAAAACTCAACAGGTCTGAAGTGAGTGTCCGTCAAAGCGTGCTCGGAAAGACCGCGGATGGTGATGGGTAAGGACAAATTTTTGAATCTTAATACAATTTCTAAAGTTTGATTGGAAAATGATATATACTTTTTATTTCTAGTTACGCTTTCCTAAAAGCAACGTGTACGGGCATGAGATTAACCGACATAAGTGCTATCACTTCATTTAAGCATTTACAATTTATTGACGTGTCAGACAACTTCCTAACTACCGAAGCTCTGCAAGTGGTTACGAAAATACCATTCCTGGTACTAATACACGCCGATAAAAACAATCTAGAATCAGCCTATTTGAAGAAATCTAAATATTTACAAGTTATAATAATGAACAACAATACCATATCATCAGTTTACGATGTTTATCATCCAGAATTAAGTACATTAGAAGTGGGTTACAATGAAATTGAAAAAATCGACTTTAGAGACCGAATGCCTACACTGAGATGTCTTGACTTTCGTTATAATCGAATTTCAGATATATCAAATTTAAATTTTCCCAACTTGGACAGTTTATATTTAGCTGGGAACAAGATAACGAGTCTTGTAGGTATTGAGAGTCTGGTCAATTTACGTATTCTTCACGTTCGTAATAATCCGATCAAGTTATTAAATGGTTTTATTCCTGACCAAACAAAACTGCAGTACATCAATTTAAGAAACTGTAAGGTGACAACAATGACACAAGTCAAGAAGTTACAGGTGAGAATAAATATACTAAACTCTTTAATTACATTAAAAAACATAATTATTTAAAAGTAGAACATTTTATATATTTTTTTTACTAAAACTATGTCATGTTAGCTGGCCTTAAATTTCTACACTAACTATACTTCGCGTAAAAAAAAACTTTCCATTTAAATTACTGTTAGTTATACATAAAAGCGTTGATATTCCTTTAGTGTTTAATTTAGATTGCATATTCCTTTAGTGTTTGCCCGCACTAGAAATAATAGTACTGAAGGGGTGTCCATTCATGGGAGGTACTGGTGAAGAGGGCACCGAAGTGGAAGAGGATGATAGTGAACTAAGAATAGAGGTTTTAGCAGCATTACCTCGATTGAAGAGGCTTAATAAAGGCATATTTACACCAGAGGAGAGGTAAGATGTTAAACCTTTAACATTATTTACAATCAATCATTACTGTATAATATATAAGTAATTGATAGAATATTGAGAGTCGATTAGATAATTCTTACAATCGCTATAAATATTTCTTTGTATTGTCTTACAAAATAAACAAAACATGAAACATGAAATTGCCATAATTATGTTTTTATCTCAAATTAAAAACAACTGTCAAATATTTAATTGAAGATTTTTAAACACATGTATTTATACACATTGAGTTTTTAGGTCTGAAGCTAAAACTCTTATGACTCAAATACTCGAGGAAGGTGAAAATGCGACTGAAGAAGGAAGCGAGGAAGCTCTTGAAGAAGATTTAAATGACATGTAAAATAATGCATTCAGTGCTACCAACTTATTAGCACTTTGAAATGTAAAAATCGTAATGACACATGTTAAGACATAAATAAATAAAGAATACAACAGACAGATGTTTTATTTATTTTTATGTTGGCAATATATTTGAACACTAACTTCCATGGCACTATAAAGAAATCCGTTACACTATATTTACACTACACCCTTTGAAGTTATCTGATTAGTTTGTCTCTTTATTCAAATCACATTTGTAAAAACAATGGCTACATAGACAATGATTTGACAAAATCATTAATGATATCCAAGTTTTTCTTTATATGTAAAAAAAACATAAATAACAAAAGTCATTTCATTTTTAAAATTAAAAAAGAATCACTGCTGAAACTTGGAGTTATGTTAGAGAATCACCCAATGTAAATTTAACTTTTAATTATATCCACTTACCTCGGTATTAGCAACTTTGGTGACAAGAATAAAACAATTGTTGTTCAAATGGCTTGTAAGAGTAGTGGGCACAGCGGGGCTATCTGCTAGTCTCGGTGGACATCTATACCGTAGTCTTTCTAGCCTTGTGCTCTGTGCCCTTTTGATCATACTCTCTTCTGCCAGGTACCGCATTCGCATCCGAAAGTCATTCACTTCTGAACTTTTTAGATTGTCAAATTCATTTAAACCTAAATAGTATTAAATATTTTTTTTAAATAAGACATACTTTCATTAAAATATCCCATAAAAGTGAGAACTAAACAAGTCCTCATTTGCCTAAAGTTGTACACAAATCTTATTTTATCTATATCTTTATTCTATATGTCCCCTAATTATATGTAGAATGAATCACAGATTTTTTGGTTGAAAATATGATAATTTAACCTATTTTACCTCTATCCCAACTTACTTTGTTTAGCCGCTAAAAGGCTTTAAAGGTTGCAAATTATTTTACATTTATACAAACATCTCAAAAAGTCTTACATAGATTTTATTCATATTAAATACAGGGTTTTTTTCACAAATTACACCTTTTTGTAAAACAATCCTTTGTCATAAACCTACAGAGGGCTCACAAACAAAAATGAATCATTTCTTTGCGACCACCTAATATTTTTGACCAAGGAATCTGTGGTATTCCATTGTACACATCATTCTCCGACACCATGTATATTAAAGTTATTTTTTCCTTCATATGCACATAAACAATTTACAATTGATATTACCAAATATCACCAATAACCTAATGCAACAAAAACAGATACACAACAAAAATACTGATTCATGGGGGTTTTTTCCAAGCTTTTTTCCTGTTTACAGTATTTTTTTAATCATACGAAAAACATTAGTTGTAATGATAAAATATAAAATGACTCACCCTTTCCTATCAAATTACTTATGTGTGTGTTCAACAAATGCTCTCCAGGCCTTTCAATGGACCTTTCTATTATAAGTAGTACTCCGCAAGATGGTTTTATGTCTCTGAGTCGTTTATTCTCATCATCCACTTCCTCAGTAACTGCTAGAGAGTTGATGAACTGGAAAACATATCCTGTCATCTCATGGAGCATGCCAAATAGTGGATATTTCCCAGCTTGATCCCATAATTCCTGAAATATTAAACATGTTATGTAGAAATACTTGCAATGAAAAGAGTTACATCTGATTTCTGCTACTTATATATCTCCATTAAATATGTTCATCATGCATAATGTCCCCTATTAAATACCAATAACTATAACTAGCTGCCAAATGATGAGGGCAGGGGAATAGTTACATATACTCTTCCTTTACCAGTATAAGAAATGTTTTTGTTGTTTTGAAGATGTAACAATATTTTGAAGGAAACCTTTATGTAAGAAGGTAATAACGAATAATTTTGACTGCAAATGTTAGGAATATTCTGTTGTGTAGGGATCAAAGGTGTTCACTCGTCATATCATAACATTACACTTTTTTCATAGTAAATAATAAATTTTGTGATCAGTAACAAACATAAAATATTGTGTCGCATGCCATCAATGGTATGTGTGTCATTGCTTCACTATCCTCTGCATAATGATTGTGAGTAAATGGTATTTTTCTTTATATAATTTTTTTCTTTAAATTCTAAGCCTTATCAATATTTATATCCTTATCTTTCTAATAGTTATAATGAGAAGAGATGGGTCCCAAAATTAGTATTTATTGTTAGATTGGCCAAAGTACAGTTAACTTCTATAATCACTAAACTGGACTATTTTAGATCAATTTCCTTATAAATTGTTTTACTAATTTCCTTGCCTGTTTTAATACAATTATATAAAATACAATAAAGGTAAAAGGGTAATGTATAATATTTTAATAACTTCTGAAACTAGTATATATAAAAATAACAGTAAAATTACATCCCACTTATTAATAAACATATGCTAAAAAATGATAATGATCCTTTGTAATCTATATAAGCAGCAAAATGTAAACAATGTGATGACTTTCTAAAAATCAAACTAACTTATCTATGCATGTTACACAATAGTAACCTACTTCTGTAGTGCAAAGGAAATTTTATGTTGGTTCAAAGTCATGACTCACGCTCGCTTAGGATGTTATTGTGAGCTGTCTGCACTAACCTCCTTCACATCCTGCAGTGTTGCATCCCAGCTCACTGTAAGCGGCATATACACGGAGTTGGGCATCAGGCATATCAGGTCAACGTGGTCGGACGTCGAGGACGTCCAGTAGTCCCACGTATTTGGGCAGCTCGGTGCGGGTACCATTGTTTTGATTGATCTCTTACTCGACCACTCAAATTATCCCCACAACATTTTTACACCTTTCACTGAAAACTTGCTAGTTAGCGACCGAGTCGCTGTTGATCACTGAAAATATTATGCACTAAGTTACTTAACTATATCGAAACCACAATGTTGAATCATAGCATTTCCTGGTATTTTGATTGGGGGGCAAATCGCCATTCGAAAAGAAACTGTCAATGAAATTGCACAAACAACATTGGAACCCAATTCTTTAACACAATTTATAAATGCGAATACCTGTATAGACAATTTACATAATTAATGTTGCATCAACAAATTACAAATCATAAAAATACTTTTCTGAGAAATTGTAAATAAATGATAAAGATTACGTGCAACAATCTACCGTAAGTACTAAGACTGAAAAAATAAAGTAATTGGCTATGGTAAAATATTTTTTTATTTGTTGTGATGTCAACATTCTCCTTTCGACTCTATTTAATTTATTTGATTCGAATAAATTAGCATTCAAATGCTGTGAGATCAAGTTCATTATTATCTTCATTTGATATAAAAGGTTATCTTAAGCTTTATAAATACAATACCGACACAAAGTTTAAGTTTAGTCCCCAAATCTCCCTTTTCAGTCTACTTGGCGAAAGACTAGGTCTGTATTTCGAAACGAAACTCAGTAAAACTAAGTCCTGGATGTAGTTAAGACTAACTTTTCTTAACATTTTTGTTTGTTAAAAAAGAGTACGATTGGGTGTGAAGATTAAGTCCCAACCTACTCTTTGGGATCTTCTGAATCTCTATGCAAATCCTCTATATGCTCTATAGTATAAATCCTAACCTTAAATCATCTTCAATCCAATCCATAAAATAAAAACTTGCCAGATTAAGTTTTTGGGTTGTGTGGTCTCGTGATACAAATGCTATCAAGGTTAATTGAAATGGTACAATTTTCGTGACCTTTTTACTAAAAGTATGATGTTCGAGCATTCTATTAAAGTACCAAGGCACTATAAAATTGCTGCGAATATTTTAAAAAAGGTTTCCACAGAAGGCGGCAGCGTTAAAACTTTATTGTACGATAATAAACTTCGTCATTTCGTGAGTATATTCTTAGATATTTAATATAGATATTTACTAAACAGTTCGGTAATTTAATGCCGCTTTCAATGTTGTATTTTCAGAGAACTAATGTGCTATTTGCACTTATAACCGAAACTATAAAACATGCTGCACAAATTGACAAAATTTTTGATAGTTGTAGTCTACTTAAAAATGAATCACGATTAGATCCTTGGCTAGCAAAAATTTTAACAGCAGAATTGCTGTTTGGTAAAAAAGCTTTACCTGGGAAAAGTAAACCAGAACAAACAATATTATCATACAAAGAACAATTTGAGAAATATACAGATGACCATGAAGATGATTTGAAGTCTAAAGGTAATTACTTTTATTTATTTTTCAGATCAAAAACAACAATTGAAAATACTCTGAAATGGCTGATAATTCTGAGGGTCCGCTGATACCAGCTCATACTAAGCGAGTGGCTTTAGTACTTGCAAATTTGTTTTTATACAGTGTAGCGATGTTTACACTTCCTTTTATTGCATTTTTTGGTATAAGACACATACTTACTGATGTTTATCCAATGGATACATTTCCGAGGACAGCATGGTCAGTTTTTGGTGCAGTTGTGGTAGTGAATACAATTATTTTTATATTTGCTTACAAAGCATATTATGAAAAAGAATATGATGAGCATGGAAATGAAATTGATCAACATTCCTACCCGACAAATAAACTGCCAACTGCATCAGAATCTGACAAAACTACATTAAATTTGAAAAAAGATTGATTGCAGTATTAAACCAAAGTTATGGTCATTCCAAATATTGTATTATGAATTATTAAACCCAGTGTAATTTATTAAAGTAGAAATAAACAATATTTTAACAAAACACAATTGTTTGAGTTTAATTTTTTTTTATTGTTATTGTTTTAAGGTATAAAGTTGGAAGTATACATTGTCTTTTTCTCCAGTCATCAAAGTATACATACATGATTTATTTTACATACATTTTAAATTTAAAAGTACCAAACGAAATTACATAGTCAAATAACTTTGTCAAACACTAGAGACAACAAATTTAATCATACTTAGTTTAAAGGTGTACACTTTAAGTGGATACCAAAGAGAAGATTCAACGATTCTTGGTAAATATTTGACTTGTCAGATAAGCAGAAGTATATTATCTTAAATTGTTATCTTTATCACTCCTAGGTTTCCCATTCTTAAGATACATTTATAAATTTTATCACAGTTGTTCGCAGACCGAGATATGTACGTGTTAACACGAATCTCTTGACTACATCTGATGCGATACGAGCCTTCCAGGATGAGGAGTATCAATTCATCAGATGCACGGGTGGCTCCTACGATGACTATCTCAAACAAGTACAAGGTCTTACGGAGTATGTCTTCACACAGGACTACCATGTGAAGACTATGTTTGTTTTTTTCCCTGGTACAAAGTTTCATGAACATGAACTGTATTTGGAAAATAAGATTATATTGCAAGATAAGGTATGTAGGTATAAACAAGGAATTCGTACTTAGGGTTTTAATTCTTTTTTTTTATTTTGAGAGATGTTTTAGGCAACAGCTCTGGCAGTCGTCCTTTTGGCTGCACCTCCTGGTAGCGTGGCATTGGATATGTGCGCAGCACCCGGCATGAAAACAACGCAATTAGCTGCGTTTATGAGAAATCAGGTAATAAGGTGATTTGCTATAAAAATCTACTGCATCTATTGTGACTACTGTTAGACATTACATATTTTAGACTACTATTTACTTTTTTGATTGTCTCATTATTTTTGTCTCAGGGAAAGATTTACGCTGTAGAAAGGAACGAGCAACGTTATAAGACGCTGTGCGATTTTGTAGAGAAAACCGGATCAAAGTGCGTAGAAACATTACACAAAGATTCTTTAGAAATTAAACGAGGCGAGTACGATGACGTGGAATATATACTCTTAGACCCTAGTTGTTCTGGTTCAGGTAATTACTAGATTTAATAAAAAAATAATTTGTAAAATTGTTGATAAAAAAAATTATAAATTCTTATTTCGATTTTCAGGGATGGAGTTTTGTGTACACAACTATATCGAAGATACGAGGTTAGCAAAACTTACATCATTGCAAGAAAAGTTTTTAAAACATGCAATGAATTCATTCCCAAAAGCAAAGAGAATAGTTTACAGCACATGTTCATTATATCCAGAAGAGAATGAAAGAGTCATTACAAATGTTGTAAAAACATCAAGAGCTAAATGGAGAGTTCAAGATGTAAAAGAACTGTTAAAAGGTCAATGGAATAATTTCGGTTCCGGAATGTATGGCAGTATTGGCACAAGATGTTTATACGCAAAACCTGAATCAGATTTGACTACTGGATTCTTTTTAGCTGTATTGGATAGAGATCAGAAAGATTTAGAAAAGAAAGAAAGCAATGAAAACAATTCAGTTAAAGAAGTTAGAAAAGAAAAGAAAAATAAAACCAAAAAGAATATTGATAATGACAATAATGCTGAAATTAATGATAAAACAAAGCAATTGGAAGATAATGAAATTGCTGAAGGCAGAAGTGAGGACGAGATAAGGAGCATTAAGAAAAATAAAAAGAAAAAGAAAAAATCCAAACAAGACAATGACTGTTCAGATATTGCAATAGAAGAAAAGGATATAAGCGACGTTATTGAAGTCGTGAAGAAAAAATCTAAAAAGAAGTCTAAGAAAAATTCTAACCTTGAGGATGCAATACAAGTTGATGAAGTAGAAAACTCGGTTAATGATACAAAAGAATCAAGCAATGAAAAACCTAAAAAGAAAAAGAAGAAAAAAGACAAAACCAAAGAAATAAATAACACAGAAAATAACGATACAAGCGAACTGGCTGAAAATATGGATGAAGAAATTCAAAAGAAAAAACGGAAACGTGATTCCGATACCATAATTCATGAGTCAAATAATGATTGTTCAACTCATCATTCAAAAAAGAAGAAAAAGAAAGACAAATATTTAATGGTCGAAAATGACGATAATAATGAACTGGAAGTACAGAAAAAGAAAAAAAAGAAAAAGGTTAATAGTAGTTAAACATTATGAACTTTTGTCTTTACAATTCTTAAAATAAATCAGAAATCGTAATTGTTGGGTGTGTTTTATTGACCTTTTTTTACAGGAAATTGACAAAAAAGTTTACGGCTATTATAATTCTGTACCTTTGTACGATGAAATAATTGTGTTAATGTTTGATAATACCGTTGCCTTTAAAAGGCTAATCTTTCCATTACTTTCTCTATTTAGGTTAGTACAATTGTAAAATTATAATTACTTATTCTAATCGTACTTAGCTTAAGCAAAGTTAATAAATCCGTAACGCTTAAGTGGGGCAAACGTCATAAACGATGCTTACAGTCTAACCACTTTCCCGCAAATGAAATACCTTATTTTTTCCTTACCTCGCTTTATCATTTGATTATGAGTCTTATAACGTCAATATATAATTCACTTTTGATTGATGAAGGACTGTTAAGCTGCACACACGCCAGCTTGTCACGAACTGTGTCGTGCGTCCTTATTTTCAACGCCCACATACAAAATACATATTCATATGAATACCTAATTGAATAATTGTTTCTTTGTTACTTTTTTTTAATAGCTGGTGTTAAATGTTGCTATGTAGGTTGCCATGTGTTTTTCCAGCTGTAATTTACGGTGTGGTTGTAAGTATTTTTGCTGTCCTGAATACATATAAGCATACGCACATTCATTTACATAAGTAAATATTAACTACGACAAAGTAATTGATGCATCTTGGATTTAAATGAAATACATACTGACAATTACATTAATCAAGCTAAAAAATGAAAAAAAAGCTCGAATTTGCATTAAATTATATTTAAAAAAGGCAATTGTAAAGTAGTAAAAGCTTAGTCATAATTATTTAAAGGTTCGATTAAAAGAACTTGAAACAATAATGGTACAACGTTAACTAAGTAGTGCACCAATTTATCGTCACCTAATTTCAACGAAGAAATATTTGATTTTTGAAACATTTATAGGTCAGTGCGTGTTTAAAGTTGGCTACTTATTTTTCTTTTGTCCTTGAGCTAATTGGGAATTGTGTTACGGCTCTCACGATCATTATTTACGTGATTTTTATGTGAACGTTTTGTAACATTATGAGCGATGGTCGTGACGAAATCTATTACTATGGTTTTATATAACATTTCGAGAAAAACATATTTGTCATCACTCTCATATACTTTGGAAAAATAAAGACAACGCTATGTTTTTGTACGTGTTTCAGTAGTCGAAACTTAAAAGTATACGGTTGTATTGAAGTTAGTTTTAGGAATAACTCGATATTTAGTATTGTAACGTATTATTACCGTAATGGCAATTTTCTTGCGTCAAACTAAATCAGTTCTTAGAAATTTCTTTGCTATTTAGTATTTGATTGCTTTAGGTAATATTCGTGAGGTTTTTATTGTGTAATTCTAAGTATTAATGATTACATTAATGTCTCTCTTAAGTAAGTTGTTAAGAGTCATTTTTATTGGAACAAAGGAACCTCACATCTTAGACGGTAAACGTAAGATATCATCATTCATTGTTACTCCCCATTTTTTTAAAGTTTAAACTGACATAATTAACGGAAATTTATGTATATAAATACTAGCTGTATTGACTCTTCCCGTGCAAAAAAAAAAAGTAGCCTATGTGTTCTTCTAGGGTATGTTCTACATCTTTGCAAAATTAAACCTAGATCCATGCAGCTGTTCTGGAGATACCTTCTAAAATACTTCCATTCTCCAAACATTCGCATTTATGATATTAGTAAGAAGTAAGATCTATCTAAATAAATAACTAACTGGTATATATTATGTACTGAAACAGAATAAACGAGTTAGTTGCTAAGCAACGAGAGTTTTCTCTTATAGGCGTGCCTCGAGGGCGGGTCCATTATCTTTTACCCTCACCTACAACCAATGAGCGACAGGAAACGCAATATTATGACAAACGTATCATTCAAGGTCTGTCACTTATGGCTAAAAAAGTGTGGTTACTTTGTCATAAATTTGAATTCTACTCCAATATGAATAGAGCATTAATTTGCTTGAATGTAATCGTGGATGAGTTTCCGTTATTGGCTGTCGTCAATCAATTAAGCACGAATTGTCGTATTGTAGTGTTGTGGTTGGAAAAACAACTGGAATAACTTTTTTACCCGCCCCAAGCGTTATATACCTAATATATTGAATTAATTCACACATTTACATCTTAAATATTAAAAGAATTTCACACAATTACCTAAAATCTAAAATATATTGCATTTTATTGTAATCATAGACCTATATTGAACATTATAAATGTTTTATTTAGTACCGTTTTAGTAATAAAGCGTTTGTTGAAATCTTTCTTAACAATCGTTCTTTACTTAGTGAATATAACACGCACAACTCTCATTTATCTTAAAACGCGCAGAATCATGACGTCACTAATGATTGAAAGCGTGCAGACTTGCTTGCTTGCCCTCTTTAAGTATTTTCAGTAAACTAGGTCTTAATTAATTATTATATATCAACGTAATAAAAATGTAAACTTATAAATAATATGAAATAATAAAAGGAACTTAATTATTTCTGAATACCCTATCATAGTTTCAGCTACGCGCTACGCAAGTACTACGACGATGTAGTCGCGTAGCTCGCACAGTTACTTTTTGAAGTTTATAATACTTTTTATACAATTAAATTTATTAGCCAATATGACTATTGTCCTTAAATAAATTATTGCAGAACAATCCCAAGACGTTTCATCAAAGAATTTCAACAAATTGAATTATTTTATATAAGTTAACAGTGGTAGAGCCCGCTTTAACTAAGATCGCACGAATAGGCCCGGCTCGCCCGTTGAAATACCACGACCACACAGAAAACAGGCGTTAAGTGGAAGCAATTCTGCGTCTCGTCCAATAAGTGTGCGTCCCGGAGACCTAATTTAGTCCTCTTTCCCTTTCCACCCTTTTCTGTTAAGGAAAGGATGGGAAGTGGAAGTGGTCTTTCCGGATAAGAAAATGCATGGAAGGGGAAAATATTTTGTTTCTGTGCATTCTCTCCTCCGTCGATTAAAGGCAGGCAACGCATATGCAATTGCGTATGTCTATGGACAACGGTCACTTCACTATTTCAGCGATTTCAGGTGGCCGCTTGCTCGTTTGCCACCTTATGATAAAAAACGTTAAGGAATACTATACGTATTATGTTTTCTTTATAATATATGGTAAACATAATCATGCTCGGTCACGATTATAACCTCAATCCAAATGAGCTAGTTGGATTTTTAAAATGTTTTACTTATTTTATAACAAAAACCGTAATTAGAGCGGCAACTATAAATCGTAAAATCGCTTCTTACTCAATCAAGACCTTTTCTTCTTCGTAATTACGTGTTCGTTATTTACCTCGTATTCTCATAATAACGCACCTACTTATAATGAAAAAAAACCTTTGTTAAATATTATAATCGATGTTCATTAACAGCAATCAACGGACTTTAACTAGCGGCACCTAAAAACTATAAGCGAATTATATAAACACGCCAGCATACGCCTTCGCTGACCCGAAGACTCCGACTGTACGTTAACGTGGCAATATCACATACATTTATCCAATTAAGTTAAACGCACTTTTTGACTCTGCATCTTACGTCTGTATAATGATAGTAGCAGATAATAGTAAAATCTTAATTAAAATTACGTATAAAAAGTTACAAACTATGTGTAAATGGCCTTAATGTACCATTTAAATGGTGTACAACAATACGAGAACTGAATAATTTGATGTAGATATAAAGAACTGTAAAATAATGAAAAAAATATTATAGTAAGTCATAGAATATTATTAAAAAAAATGATATCGAATTCGCAAAATCCAATATCAAAATTATTATGAAACATATGGTTAGGATAAGGTTCCAAAATTTAGACACGCTTATCCAAGTCAATAATCTTCGTAATACTGATAGTAATCAGTGCGATGTTTTTACTCTACTAATTAAAGTAATTAAAACTGTAAGTCGGTCACGCCGGTGTGACGTACGAGGGTGCGGTGGCCGACTCACCCCACGCGGCCGTACCGAACCTTCACTCGATTCCCTTCTCAAAACATAACCGGACGACTACTCTTGCATACTTCTTACTTACACTTAATATTAACTAATTAACTTAACAACATACTTAGAATTTTTACTTGTCTTGTGTTTAATACATTAGTTCTGTTTAGGTTTATAGTATAAATGCATTTCGCGCCAAATGCAATGTTTTTCGGATATATGTGATTTTTAAGACTGTTTAAGTGAATCGTTTGTGAAATGGCAAGTGAAGAATCCACACCTGCACCTACTGCGGTAAGTTATACTTTTGTTATGATGATTAATTACTTAATAAATACTTAATCTTGTTCGCTGTGAATAAAAATGTTTACTGATAATTTTGTTGATATATTTTGGTACACCTGAATTGGCAATAAAATGAAGATATACTTAACGAGAAATTTTAACGCTTTTATATCTTCGTACCGGATTTAAGAGTGAATATTAAGAGATATTATTCTTCCGTCTATATTTTTTTTGATAATAACTTACAAAATCTTTTTTTTTATCATTCACAAGTAGTTTTTATCAGCTATATTGTATCAAAATATATTAAAGTTTTTTCTAAATTTCTATTACCTTCTCGAAATTTAGCAGCAATTGATTCTAAATAATATATTTTCTTGCATGCGATGTATTAATAAATATGATTAACCAATTTTCTTTGAAAAACTGATTCACTTTTGATAAAACAAGGTTTTCTTTAATTTTATTTCGACGAATTATGATAAAAGTTTTTTCGTGACCTCTGTCACTTAGTCACGCGCCCACACTAAGCTCGTTAACTCTGGCGATGATCTCAAGATTACAAAAATTATATTACTTTGATACTTAAATAATTTATACATTCACGTCAATTTGGTTTCATATGCACTAATAATAATTTTGAAGAAATAATTGTGATATATGACTTCGCATCTTGAAAATTTGCTCTAACTTCTTGTAACAGTCTAAGATTAGGTATTTTTCTCTCTTAGTGAGACTGCGTATTAA